CCGGGGGAAGAGTGGCTGGAAAGCTGCCCATTGGAAAGGGACCTAGGGGTGCTGTTTGGCAGCCGTCTGAAGATGAGCCAGCAGAGTGCTGAGGTGACCAAGAAGGTCAATGGCATCCTGGCTTGTATCAGAAACAGTGCAGCCAGCAGGACCAGGAAAGTAATTGTCCCTCTGTACTTGGTGTTGTTGAGGCCATACCTTGAGTCCTGTGTTCAGTTTTGGGCCTCTCACTACACGAAGGACATTGAGGTGCTGGATTGAGTCCAAAGAAGAGCAGTGAAGCTGATGAAAGGTCTGGAGCACAAGTCTTATGAGGAGTGGCCGAGGGAGCTGGGTTTGTTTAGGTTAAGGGGAGACCTTATTGCTCTCTACAACTACCTGAAGAGAGGTTGTAGAAAGATGGAGGTAGGTCTCTTCTCCCAGGTGACAAGTGACAGGATGAGAGGAAATGGCCGCAAGCTGCACCAGAGGAGGTTTAGATTGGATATTAGAAAAAAATTAGACATTGTTTACAGATATCTTTAAAATTTAGCCTAGTAGTTTCCCCAGTAGGAGACAATTTTGTATGCTTCGCTGCCCCAATGTGTGTTTGTATGTCGATCTTTAGAATGCCTCTAAATTTCTAGAGAGTTTGCTGTTTTCATATCAGTATTATAAAAATTTATTATCTTATTGGTTCTTTTACATCTTTTTAGGAGAATAACATGAGCCATTTACAGTAAATTACAAGTTTTGATCAATATGCTCTTCCTTCCTTGGTAAAATGAGTAATAAAAGCTCCTAACATATTCCATTCTGCATCTCTATAATTTCTTTTTCTGTTACCTGTTACTTGTTGGTTAGTTTTAACAATGTAAATTTTAAAAACTTGATCCATTGTATTTGACCCATGGAAATAAATTTAGAAGATATCAATTTCCTGTGAGTTTTGTGATATTTGTTCGCATGGTAGGTTACAGGGACTCAAATGTCCACCTCCCTTCACTGGAAAACAGGCTGTACCATGGATTTAATAGTTCAAGTTCTGTTAGCCTGCTGCAGGCAGTCAGCATCACGTTAGCTCAAAACCAGCCAAAGTTTTGTGTTGTTTTTAACAGATGGTTGTTAAGGGTCTCTTTTCATCATAAATGACATCTGGACATTGCATTGTTGTGATGTTTATGAGATACAGGAATGAATGGAAAGAACTGGGTGGATGAGTTTGTGTGGGATATTGTGCAGGTGGTGGGAACAAGATATTGCATTGGAAGGGACATCTGAAATGTAGGCTACAGATGTAGAGAATCCTTACCTCGTTAGTTCTCATGCATTTCAATATGTGCATTGTGGTGAGCTTTTTTCTGTACTTCATCCCTTTCTAATACTTTATAACTTCATCCATGTGCTTATACAGTGTGATTTATGTCAAAACTGGGGTTTACAGCTTCCTGCACTTATATTTTGCAATGCTCAAATAGAGGAGCTCACTGTGGTTCAGCTACAGAAAAGTCAATGAAATTCTGCTTAGGGTTGTCTTGTTTCTAAGGTGGTTTTGCCTTTAAAGGTAAAATATATGTATTTTTAGGTGCAGTGTGAAACTGTGGTAAACATTCTGCATTACGTATTTGTTGCATAAAGCCATTACAGTGAGATCAGTGCTATGTGAAGGGTTTCTGCTCCCGGCCTGCAGTAGCTGCAGGTATTCCCTGGAGCAGGTATCTAGGTTACTATCTTTCCAGAGCCCTGGGAGCACAGGTGGGAGGCAGCAGCATCTGTCCTCCTCTGTGAGCAAAATAGTCCCTCACTGCAGTGATAATAAATCTGAAAGTAAACATTTAAGAAATCCCTCTTGGCCTTTTAACAAGTATTTATATGTTTAATCTCAGATTTATTGGCAAGGTTGAAGGATATAAGCCCTCCCTGTCAAATGTGTTTTTTATATTAAACATTTAGAATGAACAAGGCTAGTGAGAGAGGGAAGCAGTGCAACTCTTTCAGGGTTCTCATTATAGAATTATGAAGATTTGTTTCTTGGAAGCATTTTTAGAAAACAATTTTCAGTGGCAGACTGCAAACTTACTTTCCTTCCTCTGATTTTTTTATTGCATATTAGTTTCCATACCAATCCATCAATACACAGATAAAGCTGAAGTAATGATTCAGAGAATGCCTTGTAGTATGCCTAGGAAAAACTTACTAATTAACAACCAGAATGCAGAAATAGCATAGTTCAGCAAGAGACAGTTCAGCTGTTCTGGTCTTAAGAGCAGACTTTATGCTACTTAACACAAGAATTTTAGAGGTAGATGAAGTGTGCATTACTTCATTGTATTCTGGGGAAAAACTTCCATTATTTCAGATAGGCTTTGAAGATAAATAAAGGAACACAGTTTGGTAGAAGACCAATCAGAGTACATTAGAACCTAGGTTGTGGTCATGGTATCATTGTTATGGGGTGTCTTTGATTAAGAAGTAAGAAACCATTGTTGTGCATTCAGTCTTTCCTGAAGCTGATTGTTAAAGGTACATATAGGTAGGCAAAGATAATTTGAAGCTTATCTTTTGAAATTTTGTTTTCCCGAGAAATAGAACTTTGACTAAAAACTTCAAACAGTTTCCAAGCTCTGTATTTGGTCCTGATGATCAGAAGTCAGCATAGTGTAGTAGGCTGCTTCTCAAGATTGCACTGCTAATGAAGAGTATCTTCTTTCTTGAAGTTAATGATTTTTATATACTTCCTAATATTCACTATCAGCAGTGTCACCCCTACAGCAGATATCCTTCATATACAAGTTCAAGAAAGAGGTTTGTGTTGATACTGGAAGCCTGTCATTTCAGCAAGCCTTCATCCATAGTGTGCGTGTCTCGATGTGAGTCAACAAGATTCTATGGATACTCAAAATATTTTGAAACCATATGAACAGAATGTGTATTTTCCTCTGTCTAGTAAAAATCAGTCATAAAGTCTTCACAGACTTATAATGTGCAGAATCTAACCAGCTTGGCAAATAAACTGTTTGTTAAAGTGTATTCTGGCTGTATTTCCAGGCTGCGTTTAGACAAAATAGCATTTTGTTCATGCCAGGTATTGGACTGTCTGGTGGAGACTCAGGTTTTCTATTCAAGCAGGTTGGAGCAGATTTTTTACTTGACCAGTGACCTTTCTAGGGAAGAATGTTAGTAGAGAATTTATCCTTGGTATACATTTATGGGATAAGGAGAGGGGTATTTTATTTGCCTGTTAGTAGGGTATAATGTCCTCAATGAACAACAACAACAACAAAATTCATTGCTTTTTTAAAGAATTGGTGGTTCAGTGGAAGAGAAATAATCTAAGGATTGTTGCTTATTTTAATGGGTTTTTTCCATGTTCCTCAGATACTGATTGTGAGGCTAGATACAAAAATCTTGTCTTTTTAAGAAAGGAACTTGATCTAGAGATGTGTACCAAGATTTAGGAGTGCCTTTTTTCAGTGGCATTTGCCTGTGTCTGGATTAGATACATAAATGATTAGGAATTATTTCCATTTTAATAGCAATGTGAAAAGCTTATGTTATGGCTAATTTACCAGTTGTTAGTTATGTTTCTAAAGTGTACATAAGAAGCATCTTAATTAGTTAGTCTTATCATTTACTGTCTTCTTCTCAGATGGATCTCTGATTCAGTTGGATGCTTTATACCACATAGCGATTAATTTGTTGTGCAGAACTCTTCGTCTCTAGTTTATCCTTATGCATCCTTTATACATCTGCTTTCATATATAATTTTTGGGACTTATTTTTGTATTCTAATGCTTCTCCATTATTCTTTCTCATATCTTTCTTCTTTCTCTCTGACCCAATTTTTGGCATCTATTGTATTCATCAGAGATTTCCATCTAGTATTATATGACAGGTTCTTCTGTAGGAGTTTATAGGAGACATGATCTAAAGAGACTTCATTAGTCTCTTTGTAACTGTGCTTGTGACTAAAATTGTATTTAAATGTGATAGGGATGCAAAGAAAGACTCTTTGATGCCTCTAAATGTGACCTGTGCCCAAATGTGCCGTGTTGTTATCTGATTAAACTTCTGCAAATTGGAAAAGCACAAGAATGCATTGTGTTTCAGAGTCTTTTAGTGGGCAGTAATTAGGAATATTAGATAGCAAGTGCAGTTAATGTACTTGAGTGAATGTCATTATAATAAGGTTGCACAAAATCACCAGCACAGCTTAGTTTTGCATTTTGGCTCAACATTATGCACGTAGATAAGCAGCCATGTGTAAACAACAAATTAACTAGAAAATAAATAATTTTCTATCCCTAAGTCTCCAAAGGATTATAAAGTCAATGGCTGCATTTTTATTCTGTTTTTGTAGAAGACCATATTCAGTCAGGGAATATACTTCTAAATATTTTTTATTTTTTCACTTAAAAAAAATCCCATATTATTTATTAGCACTATTTTGTTTTCATCATCCATGTTTGATTTCCATAGATTTATAATCTAATCAGACTAAGCAATGTGCTGAGGATGTACTATGCTGGTACATATTCTGAAAAATCCAAAGGAATACCAGACCTTTTTCTAAATATTTTAATGTAATTGTCAACGTGTAAAACCACCTTGATTGTATGTTTTCTGTTTAGATACCTATCCCAGAATTGTTAAAATACCCAAAAGTGCAAAATATTATGTGACATCAAAAAGAAAGGATGCTGCATATATTAATATATACTGTGTATACACTAAAATTCTGCAAAGTTTTATATTTTATTCTGTTGGTGCAAAATAGAAGAACTTATTTCTGTCAGTCCCTGTAATAGTTAGGAGATAAAAGTCCAGCTCATGAATGTGTAGCACTGTTAAAGTAGTCAACTGTCACTTTTCCTGATTGCTACTGATCTGAATCTTATTGATTCTTACAGAAAGAGGCACTGTTTTGGGAAACACTTGGAGGTTCTTTTTCGGCAGGATTTAATGAAATATGGAAAGTTTAATTGTGTTATAATATTGTGTTGTTTTTTTTTTTTTTAAAGTGTGCGGTTCGTGCAGCTACTGAAGGCAGAATTCTTGTTCTGGAAGGCTTGGAGAAGGCTGAGCGGAACGTTCTGCCAGTGTTAAACAATTTGCTGGAGAATAGGGAAATGCAGCTTGAAGATGGTCGTTTTCTCATGTCTGCAGAGCGTTATGACAAACTTTTGCAGGTATGGAAATGCTCTTTGGATTTTCCTTTTTCTTTTTTTTTCCTGTTCTTGGTAGTGCTGGAATACTGTTGTGAAGGGGAGAATACTTACAAATCAAATGGGGGAAATTTCACCAAGGTTTCTGTGTTTTCTTCTGGAATGTTGCATAGAATGAAGTAGGCAGGGTAAGCTATGTGGGAAGTCAAACTACTGTTTTCAAAACCAAAAAGTTTTCATCCGTATCTTGTCTTCACAGGAAAAAGAGTAGTCCATGTTAACCTTGTATGAAGTGTGTATGTTTCTAAAACGTGGAAACCACAATGTGAGAATAACTAAAATATACTTGTGAAAAGATATTTAAGTTGAAATTGTTCCCATGAAGTTCAGATAATGCTTCAACATTGAAATAGCCTTGTTGCTAAGCCTTTAAAATGTTAGGATACCAAACGAATGAGGTCAAGATGAGCGACACTGTATTCATTGGTGCTGTTTTGCCTTTAATTTGCAAAAGTATATGTAAAGAGCAATCTAAACTATAGAAAATGGTTAGATTGATAGGAAATGGGATTATACTCACTAACATTCTTTTTTTTTGACAGTTTCAGTAGTACTTTGCATCTTACTTTCATGTACTGTAGTTGCCAGTCACATACCTGTCAGTCTAGCACCTGCTTGGTCACGTTTCTGTCTGCCATACCTAACTGTGGTTAGGCATATAATTCAGACCCATGTGGCACAGGAGGGAAATGTGCATAAGTCTTCTGTCATTGATCTCGATTGTATGAAGTTACCAGCTGTGCTGAAGTACCATAGTGAATTTCTAAAAATATATCATTATTTCTTATGCCTCTCATCTGTGGTTAAAATTCTTCTGATCCATGCCTTTTCCAAAAATATTTTATGATATTTAATTAGTAGATGCAGTTATTGGAAGCATTATTATATTTCAAAACAAAGCTTTTAAAATGTAATTTTATTTAAAGACTGAAAATGAGAATTCAAACAGATTCAGTTGCAAAACATTTTCTTTTCCTTTTTCCTATTTAACACTTTTCTAATGATTAAATGTCTCAAAATGAGTGCCTCAGGCAAACTGCTAATAGTTTATGAATTAAATAAATCTTTTGCTACAATATTAAATCTAATATTGTTGTTTTATTGTTTGGGGAATATTGTATTATATAAACTAATGTTAATTTTGCTTCTCCTGTGTGAATAATTACTGTGTATCTAAGTCTGAAGGAAATGTACTCATGTATGGTTTCAAGGAAGACTTAACTATGATGTGGAAAGATAAAGACTGCATTTTTGGATGTAGTGAATCCTTTACTTGACAATAATACATAAAGGAGGCTAGTTTTGTATTATTTAATATAATACAACATAATTTTTAAATGGAAGTTTTAAAATGGAGATTTTAGTTGCCTTTACACTTGTAATGGGGGGGGAAGAAGAAAAAAGCTTGTTCATGGTAACCCACTTCTAATATTTTAGAGTAAAATAAATGTTATGGTCTGTTTATTTTCTGTTCTTCATAAAAACAGTCTTATATTGGTACCTTTTCACATGATGTAATGTAACATCACAACAGGCACCACCATCTGTGGGGTTTTTGGTCAAATTGCTACAGGCCTGAAAGCTGTACCTAATCAAGCATTCTTTTTATGTTCATTTTGAAAAAAACTGTTTTTACCTTCCACAGATTTGACGAGCTCGATGCTTTCTAGCCACTCTGAATGAAAGATGAGAACACTACCACGTTTAGGTTGAAGGACCAGTGCTGTTAATTGATCTGGAGCTTAGTCATCATAAGTTTTTAATGATGTGGGTTTTTTTCCTTCTTGTCGCTTTATTTTAATTTATTTAGGATCATACAAAATCAGAGTTAGATGCATGGAAGATTGTTCGGGTCAGTGAAGATTTTCGAGTGATAGCACTGGGCCTGCCAGTACCTAAATACTCTGGTAACCCTTTGGATCCACCCCTTCGCTCTCGATTTCAAGCTAGAGATGTTTATCATCTGCCCTTTAAGGTGAGTGTTGTAGAAGATTGGATTATTTGTGCTGAGTAAAGATAATATTTTGATGTTATGTTTTACTTACCTCACCTCTAAAAAGAATTCTTGACTAATGAATTTATCTTAAAGTACATTTTTTATATTTTCATATTTAATAACATATTACTAAGATGCAGGTTTAGAGTTGCCATGGAATGCTGCAGCAGAAAAGCAACTTCTGTAAAACATATAAGAATTTGATTTTTTTTTCTCAAATAAAATTAATTCTGTGACAAGGAGTGAGTAGAATCCTCACGTCTAAATTATAGGGAAAGATAGAAAATGCCATATATATCATGACCTGTGACTCACAATTAATTTATTCTGTGATTTTATGTTCTATTTTCAGGACCATCTTCAGCTATTATATTCAATTGGATCAAACATTTCCACAGAGAGGTAATTTTTCATAATTAAAAAAAAAATTGAATAAATGAATAAGTGATGTCCTTGCAGGATTCCGTGCTATTTTTGCTTCTCTATCACTGCATAGAGACAAGAACTGAAGAAATTTTTTAGTATGTGTGGGTATATGCTCACACAGCTTTTTGTATGCAACCCTCATATAATGAGTCCTTAATGCTTTAGAACTTCAATTACACCTTACTTGTTTGCACTCAGAAGTAGTTCCAGCATCTTTAACTGTATTTAACTTTTTATGCTTCAGTATTTTAAATATAGATAGCATGTATAAAACTCTGTAATTACTTTTTCCTATGCAGAATTTCTCAGCTCCTGTCTTTTGCTACAACTCTCTGCTCTCAAGAATCTTCTACACTGGGACTTCCAGATTTTCCTTTAGACAGCTTATCGGCTGCCGTTCAGATTTTGGTATGTGCATACACATGCTGTGAAACTGTATGGGCTTAAAATTTCTCAGAATTAGATCTGGTTTATTCATCTTGTCAGAAGAAGATTAACATGAATATTTAAAAAAAACAACCTGAAAAAACTAAGAATAGTTTGAGGAAGAAAAGTCTCACTCAGATGTCTCTGGATAATATTTTAACCAAGCATATAGCATAATATTGAAAGATGAAGTATCATATGACATAAAATTTGTGCTGTGATTAAATGTATCTTAGTGCTCAATTTATTATTTTTTCCTCTCTGGTGAATCATGTTACCTGACTTCAGGGGCATCTGCGGTTTACCTGGTGGCACTCAGGTAGTCACTGGAGAGAAATAAAAAGCACAACATAAAAGTGCTTTGGATTTAATGTTATGCTTTAAATCAGATTGATTGCATTACAAAGACACCTATTATTCTCCACTGATATGGTAAAGGACCCAAGAAACTATTCAAATGTGGGTAGAGGAAACAGTTACATTGTCTGAGATGAAGCCTACATTAGGTCTTTGGGTGGTCTGAGGAATTTAGAATAAACATGGAAATGGAGAGTTACGTGAAGAGGCAGGTGTTGCACACTTTAAGATGCAGTGCTTCCTGACACCTACAGTACATAAGGAAATACGCAACTGTACACCTGCTGAGTTTACAGTGACATATCAGGCAAGTCAGGAATAAAGCTGTGGCAGTCTTTCTGCTTTCCCAGATAGTCCTTTGTCTCTTGGATTTTATAATTACATGGTAAAAAGCCAAAGTCAGAATGGAAGGTGCCTCCTGAAGGAGGTCAGGGAGATGAGATCTGTATGAAGAGAGAGAGGGGTTGGTGCCCTTTTGCATGCAGGAAGATATGGTCAACCTAGGAGGGTAAAGTACACGGACAGTTTCTCAAACCCTCTCTCCAAGGTGCAGGAGTCTGTAGAAGGATCTCGGGATAGTTCTCTGTTGTCTCATGCACAGTCATTCTACCTATGGTACTGCTCAGCAGCAGATCACTTTCTACGTATTTTATTGGATTATATACATTGAAACATAGCAATTACTTGTGTTACTGTGGTGCTCAGTCCCCTCAGTTGTGCTGGATACTTACAGACATAATTTATTTTCTGAATTTGTGATCCTGCATTAGATGTAGAAGTGATTAAAATTCAAGTTCAGTGAAATGAAGCAGTATTTGGAGGGCTTTAGGAAAGAAATACGCGTTGGATTTTAAAATAAATTGCAACTTTTTATTCTTTGAGCCCCATAGTGAAAAATTATTTTTAAATGAATGCCAGATGGCTTTCAGAGTAACAGAAACAAAATGAGCCCTAAGCTATTACCTAAACTATGGAATGAAGGAAGCATTTTATTTTACATTAGAGAATATGAAGTGTTATCATTGTATGACAGTGTCTTTTTTAGGTAGATGAAAATTGTTTCTTTTAGAATTAGTTTTAATCACTTGGTTTTTTAAGCTGACTGTTCTCAGTGATTGCTAGCTACAGCATTTTTCCTTCATGTGCTGGGTCAGTGCCATCCTCTACTTCTAGCTTGGCTGGTTTAACTGTTTAAAAGTGTGAAGGGAAGGAGGGAATGTATTGTAGTGAGTAGTTTCTTATCTTCTGTCATGGATTCACACAGTCCCAAAACATATATCTTGGCTTGAAAACTCCTGCCTGCTGAAAAGGAGAATTTTTTAATAGGATCCTGTTCTGAAAAGGCTAATTTTATACATGCCATTGTAATTATTATTCATTTGAGATAATGTGGACAAATTACATGGTACGTCTTTATATATAGACGGAAGGCTTTTAAAATGCAATAAAGGGCTCCCTGATCCTTGAAGCAGTACATTTACTACAGTGCATTAAATGGTTTATTTTTACCGTTTTTTTTTTAATGTGGAACATTATAAATAATATAAATCTATTACTGCTTATAAATATAAATTGAATTGTGCATTTCATAGAGTATTCGTCTCCTGGTTTCATTTCCAAGGAACTTTCTTTCAGTAATGTAAATCCAAGTGTATAACTGAAAATCAGTTGGTTTTGTTTGAATTATAATATTCGCTTTGATGAAGGCTTAAGAAGATAGTGCCAGTCCAGTGACTGTTTTTCACTAGTGTTACACACAAGTAGTCCTTAAATATTTGCAAGTCGTTATTGAAGCAAACAATCAATACTTAACTTAGGGGGTTTGAAACACTTTTTTCATACCAGGAAAGGCTTTATGCATAGTTTCTTGAGTAGTCATAAATTAATTTCTCTTTCTTTCTCTGTTACTGCAGCAAAATAATAAAATCTTTGTCTAGTTCGCAGCACCTGACAGAAGAGTTAGTACTTAAAACTAACAACTTTTAAAAAAATAAAAAAACCCGTTGTTTTCAGTTCTGTGTAGAAAGTGGAAGCATACTTAGTAACTTATTTCAGAACAGAACAGTTTTAGTCAAGCTGCTCAGAAATGTCTATGAACAGATTTGGTAAATAGAATCTGTACAATATAATAGATTCAAAATTAAATACTCTAAATTTCTGTGAATTTACACATCATTGTGTACACAAGTAGATCCTTACTGTAATACAGATTTCTTGTCATACTGATTCTTTCTTAGCAGTACTGTGAAACTCAGTTACTGGTAGTGGGATTTATCTCTCTTGGCCATATGTGTCTTCCGGTATCTGAGCCCATCACCGTAACTTCCATTTATGCACAGGAAAGAAAATAAATTTTAGGACATAGTTCTTCTAATCTACTTTGGACATTTACATTACATTGAATTACACTTGAGAAATTTCTGTTTTGACAATTAATTGAGTACTGTTTGTAGTGGTCATTTGTATATTGCCCTTACAGTCTTATTTTAATTTCAAAGCTATATAGGATTTTTTATTTAATGGCTGGTGACAGAATGAGCCTATAATTTTTTTAATTTATATTTTTAAATTTGAATTAGGATTCCTTTCCTATGATGTCAGTCCAGCATGTTATTGACCGGCTTTACCCCTATAATATTTTCCTTGGAAAGGAAGGCAGGACTGCAGTCAAAGACATGTTAAAAGTAAGTATTGCACATTTATATTGTAATTCCAGGGAGTGATGGATTATGGCAGTAGTTCTTTGACTAATGTTACTTTTCTACTTCTGCATAAAAAAAGAAATTTAAAGTAAACTAAATGGCTACATTATTGCTGATGCTTAAAATCTTCGTAATAGTATTTTTTTAAACCTTCATAAGCTAGTAAATTTTGTTATAGTGAAAGGTGAAGCCTCTAGGTTCTCTGGAATATTTAGACCTCAGTTAAAGGCTCCGGAAGAATCCTCATTATATAATAAGTAGTTAATTAACTTGAAAGTAGCTGCTTATATGGTTAAGGTAGTCAAATTCTTAAAAAACACCTCTGGCATTTGACTTTTAAAAGAAGATACTAAAAGGGCTATAGATATGACATGCACAAAATACATTCAGTATAGCATAATTATAGATTATAATGGTCTATGAATTTGCTTGGTGTTAGCCTTTTTTTTGCTTTTTGTTGGTCAGATCTGTTTTGTTGGTTTATCGATGTTTGGTAGTAGTTGACAAAGTCTAATTATGCTGTGTTATTCCACTTATTCTTTTAAAGCATAAGCACAGTGTTCGCTTTCTTTCATTTTTTAATATGTTACAGGGGTTATGGATGTTGTTGAATATTAGCATTCACAGCTTAGATCATCTTACCCAGCTCTTTTGGTGCTAAAAATTAGATGTTATTTGAATGTGCATATTTGGAAATAACCCACTTTGTTGAATTTTTGGTTTCCCTAAAACCAAGCTTATGTGTCAGGGAAATGTTTCTAGCCCATCCCTGCTGACACATCCCCCCTCCATATGCTGCCTTTTTGCTTTGGAGTTCGGTCCTCTATTCCGTATGTAACTAGGCTGCTCTCCTACTTGTCTTCCTGAGTTTTGGGATGGACAGTCCTTGCATTTGAAGGACGTTGTCCTGAATGAGCTGCTAGCTTTTCTGAACTGTCAAAGGTGACTCCTGTGGGGTCTTTCCTACCACTTCTCTGAAGAAGCCAGTATGGCCTCAAATCCAGTATCTGAAGTCATTTGTCACTTGCCTTCATCACTGCCCCTCAGGATTTTGAATTCCATTATTTCATAGTTGCTACACCCAAGGCTGCAATTGATTGCCACATCCATGACTAACTGTTCCTTGTTTGTGTATAGCGGGAGCTATCTGTGCATCACCCCTCCCTAGCCAGTGCAGTGCCTGTGCTGAGACATTATTCTAAGCAGCCTCAGAAATCTAGATTGATTAACTCTGTGGAGAAGGACCTGAGGGCCCTAGTGGACAACAAGCTATCCGTGAGCCAGCAGTGTGCCCTTGTGGCCAAGAAAGCCACTGGTATTCTTGGGTGCATTAGGAAGAACATTGCCAGCAGCTCGAGGGAGGTCATCCTACCCCTCTACTCAGCCCTGGGGAGGCTACATCTGGAGTATTGTGTCCAGTTCTGGGCTCCTCAGTACAAGAGAGACACAGAGCTCCTGGAGTGGGTTCAGCGAAGGGCAATAAGAGAGCATCTCTAATGAGGAAAGGCTGAGGAAACCTGGCCTGTTTAACCTCGAGAAGAGATGACTGAGTGGGGACCTCATCCATGTCTCTAAGTATCTGAAGGGAGGGTGTCAAGAGGATGGAACCAGGCTTTTCTCGGTGATGCTAAGCTATAGAACAAGAGTTAACAGGAAGAAACTGATGCACAGGAAGCTCCACCTGAACATGGGGAAGAACTTCTTTCCTGTGCAGGTGACTGAACAGTGGAACAGATTGCCCAGAGAGGTTGTGGAGTCTTCCTCGCTAGAGATATTCAAGAACCATCTAACACAATCCCGTGCAATGTACTCTAGGATAACCCTACTGGAGCTGGGAGGTTGGATCAGGTGACCCACTGTGGTCCCTTCCAACCTGACTCCTTCTGTGATTCTGTGCCACACTGTGTTGCCCATCCACCACAGTTCAGAGTAATTGAAGTTGCCCATAAGAACCTTCATCTGTGTGAAAATAGACTTCTATCTGTTAGTAGAACAGTAACAGTCACTTCTGTTCTTAATATGCCTTTATTTTAAATACTTTGTCATTTTGTTTACCCCATCAATTATTAATGTTGAATGTTTTTGTGTTCAATACCATCAGCTTCCTCCATTTTTTATTTCTTTTACTTTGTGTTGTGCATGCTTTTAATTCCTGTGTAAGACAGATTGATTTGACTTGTAAAATCTCCTTTCTCAATTATAATCTACTTTTAAATACGTCATTATTACATTTTTCTGTGTTAATTTTTCTTTTTTTTAAAAATCTTCCTCATCACTACTTACATGAACTTATATTTATTATGTCAACAAGTACATGTAATCTTATTTGGAATTTTACTCTATTTGCACACAACAAATCTTGTTAAGCAATGAACCTTAAGAAATACAGAAAATACTGGTTGTATTGAGGAATGTCTGTTTATAATGATATTATAGTACTAGCAGCTCCAGAACATTGGTAAGAAATTATTTTTTTCCACTCTGTGAGAATGGTGAGGGAGTGGAGTCTAGTACAAGCAAGGTGATTTCTTATTCTACCTTTCTACGGGTTTCCTAAGAGTGTCCAACTAATAACTGCCACTGAATACCTCTTTCTGTTTAAAAGACTAGAATTAGAAAAAGCTCATCTTAAGTTGGAGGTACCATGAGTTGAAAAAAATACTGGATGTGTATTCAAATTGATGGATTAATTTGTGTGTATTCAATCACTTCTTAACATTGGCTAACATTTAAAGAAAAAAAACCCAAATTTCAGATAGTGAAATGTAAAGCTTAGGCATCAGACTCAGGGACAGATATGGGGACGTAGTAATATAGATGATAACATATCCTAATTTCAGGATGTCTTCCCTTCCAGTCAGTCAGCTGTTGGAGCTGAGAAGTGAGGTAGCCAGTGGTTATGCCAAAGAGCTAGTTTTGGCAGCTGTTAGATGCTGTGCGTATTTCTTGAAGAGATCATATTCTCAAGGCACTGTCTTTTCAAATGTTATCTTCAACTTGGGGAAATTCTTTTGTTATAAACCTACTTGCTTACTGAGACTACACCAAGATACAGGTATTATTTGTAATTCTTATTCTCAATAATGAATTAATGGGAAATATTGACTTATACCTTCTCTGTGAGTGAAGGTAGTTTCTTGGGAGTGTTTGTGGGTGAGAAGCTTGATGTTACTCAGCAATGTGTACTTTCAGCCCAGAAAGCAACCATATCCAGAGCTGCAGCAAAGGCAGTGTGGCCAGCAGATTGAGCGAAGTGAGTCTGCCCCTCTACTCCTCTCTGGTGAGAGTTTACCTGGGGTACTGTGTCCAAGTCTGGGGCCCCTAACAAAAGAAGGATATAGACCTGCTGGAGTGAGTCCAGAAGAGGCCACAGAGATCAGAAGGCTGGAGCAGCTCTCTTATGAAGACAGGCTAAGAGAGTTGGGGCTCTTCAGCCTGGAGAAGAGAAGGCTCTGGGGAGACCTGATAGCAGCCTCCCAGTACCTAAACAGGGTTTACAAGAAAGCTGGAGGAGGACTTTTCGTGATTAATGTGGAAAGCCCATATAGGACACAGAGGAATGGCTTCAAACTGAAAGAGGATAGGTTTAGATTAGATATGAGGAAGAAATTCTTGACAGTGAGGGTGGTGAGGAACTGGCACAGGTTGCCCAGAGAAGTTGTGGATGCCCCATCCCTGGAAGTATTCAGTGCCAGGTTGGATGGGGCTTTGAGCAACCTGGTGTAGTGGAAGTTGCCTCTGCCTATCACATGGGGTTGAAACTTGATGATCTTTAAGGTCCCTTCCAACTGAAACCATTCTGTGATTCATGTGGTGTTAGTCTTAGATGTGTAAACATGCTTTGAAATACAAATTTCTTGTTGTGTGGATCTGGTTGGAGTTAAAATCTGTCTTGGGCTTAACTCTGTCTATCAGCTAACTTTTTAATTTGATATGAATGTAATTCCTTGTTTCAAACTAGTTAGCATAAAAAAAGGTGTTTAAGGATTGCACACTAATCCAGCATCAGCAGTAGTCTTCAGAGTTGCTTATCATACAGAACATTTGTACAAGTCCTACAGTTTGTTTTCATTAGTTCATTAGCTTGCAACAGACAGGACAGAAGTACCAAAATAAACTTGAGAGCGATGTGCATTTGTTTACCCTTATTTGAAGTTTCTGGACTTTGGCAACTGTATCAATTTGTATTCTGATTCTTAAAGATGATCCTTAACTTAGAAGTTCATGCAAAGGAAGATATGAATTGGTTGGAATTCTGGCCTTTAAAATTATTCTGTGCTTGCATGAGATACTGGCATGGCAAATTATTTTGACTGACAGATGAACATTGAAATATGATTGTAAAAAGTAAGTGAAAATGTATTTAAGGTTTTTCTCTGCAAGACTGAGATATGGAGAAATCACTGATTTGAAGAAAAACACTTCCAATTAAACCTTTTCAAACAATAAGCTTAAGCACATATGATGTTCTCCCACAATATCAAAGTTTTCTTTTCTCTGTACTACTGATAGGCTTTTTTAAAACTGGTCATCTTCATTTAGGTTGAGTTTGGTGGCTCATAAGAGACTCCAACTTTTCTATAGTTATTTTTCCTTGTCACATAAACTTTTAGTATTTTACTTCAGAGTCATTGGATATTTTGGGTTTGCTCTTTTAGTTCTCACATGCGTACGCCTCTTTGAACGAGTAGGCAACACCCACTTCTTGGACTTTTTTACAGTTTAATCAGGAGACTCCACGAGATTTTAGAAATAGCATATAGATCAGATTTGTCTTAATAAATGAGCAAGTCTGTTTTAGCCTGTATCCAAGTTTTTAGCGTCATTCTAAGGCCCTAGAATTTTTCTTCATTTTTTTCATGTTTTGATTAATTCTGTGTTTACTGTCTTGATAAAGCTTTTTTGTTCCTTTTACCTGTTTTTATATTACTTTCTCACCCACTTTAATCTTACCTGACCTCCTCCTCAGAAACTGTTTCCCTGCCTTGCAGTGGGGAATCTTCGCATGACATAGGCACTCTCACAGAGAGTGGCCTAATTGTTCAGAATACTGGAATCTTATTTCTTGTGTAGACAAGAATAATTCTTCTTCAGAAGAATTCTATTTACTTCTAAGATATTTCTTTTGAAAATTTTGTTCTAAGGAAGGATTTGTTTCTCTCTTGCTCCTTCCAAAGTATTTTATAATCTTTAGGGGTTTGCATTAATGGATACTCCTGGTGCCAATACATACCATTGTAGTGGAATCTGTCAGACTTCACCTATCTATCCATCCCATCTTGCACTTGCAGTTCATATTTTGCTTCTTGTGAAGCAGTTCAGTTCTCTTATTATTTGGAAAATTCTCTTTCCTTCCCATGCAGAGAATCTTCCAGCCTTTGGATGCCTCTTTTGAATAGCTTAGCTGCCTTGTGGGTTCAGCAGAGTGGTCATCTGCAACTACTACTCATTTAAACTCTCTGTTCCTTTGACCAGCTGGATTGCCAGTGTATTCCTTGCAATTTCCATTTTGAGACATTACCAATCATTGGATACTTCCAAGTAGTCAGAATTCCTGTTTAATTTTTTTCTAATTATTACAGTTTGCCTTTTCTCACATGTTTCTAGGCATGCAGAACGTGGCCTGATGATTAAGGACTGCCAAACCACTTCCTTGGTTTTTGGTGGCTAGTCTATTCTTTTTGCTTTTCTTTTGAGTCTGAGTCAATGAGACTGCCCACTTCTCATGGGAGTATCTCATACTCCAAGTATCTCCCAAACTTTCTAATACGGAATGTATTTCAAGCCACAAATATTATTCCTTTGCAGCTATCAGCTTGAATATTTTATAGAGGAAGTTGTTTCTGGCTCAGCAGAAGTATATTTAATGTGTTGTACATCCATTTCATACCACTCTGAGTCCATATCTGCCTATCATAATTCTAAATGAAGAACTGCGTCAAAGAGATCTGTCTTGCTCTGAAAACCACAGACAGTTTTGTTTGCTGCTCCTGTTCAGGTGTGTGATCACTTGTTTAATTACTACAGTATTCAGTTCAGCAGCATCTATGTGGTTACATGTGATGAATTCAAATTGTATGAATTCAGTAAGATGAATTTAAGTTATATAAATTCAGTAACATTCTGCACATAGACAGTCCTTTTTCGCTGTCCTGACTTAGGGTCTAAAATGCTAGCTACAGAACCCTCAACAACAACAAAGAACAACAAACAAAAAACCCCCACCAAAACAAAAAACCCCAACCAAACAAAAAAACACTGTGGAAATTTTAAACTCCCAAGACCTTTGTAAACAAGATCTGCTGATGCTGTCTCCAAATCTTTGTTATTTGATGCAGAGCCTGCTGGTGCAGATAATTTTCTTGCTCACTCACAGTTATTTTCTTGCGTTGATAAGGGATTTCAGCATACAAGCAGTTTGCAATTTTGTGTATGAGCACTTTTGACTCTGTCCAAAATGCTATTAACTTTGTAAGAATGTTGTCATTTCCTAATGAAGATAAGACTGAGAACATCTGGTAGTTCCTTTCACAAGTTGGAGCGTTTCTTAGAAGCGTAGTTTGAGATACTACTCAGTAGGCATTCCTATCCTCTTTGTTGTTTAAGCATTTAATGGTATCAGAAGTAGACTCAGCTGTTAAAATAAGAATATAATTGGGCGCAGCCCTTTACTGAAGAATATTTATCTTAAATACATGTTTAAACATAAAATTTTAGTAGGTTTTGTTCCAGAAAGGGAATTTATGAAGTGATGAAGAGCAAAAGTGTTTGTAAAAACCCATCTCAGTTTTCTTTCTAAATTATAATCAGCAGTGCTATGAATCCTAGGAGTAATAAAAACTACATGTTTTTTAAGAATTACTTTACATTAGTGACTTCTGTTTAAAAAAATTTTTTTCTAAGAATTCTAAGGGGTTGGATAATATTCCTTTTTCTCTTGTTTATTCAGCTTTCGCTCTGTTGAATAAAATGGCTCTTTGAACTCAGTAGTTTCGGTTATTAGGGGTTTTGTGCAGAAACTCCCCAATATGACTCTCCTTCCCCAACATTTTTTAAGTGGTTTCCATGCTTTCTATGTACAGCATAAAATAAGAGAGTATAATGCTCAAAAGAGGATTGAGAAGACAAATGTCCCATTTTATGTCCTTGATATACCAGAACATGCTGAAGGCTTAGTTTGTACAGGTTGTCCTCAGTTTTCATTGTATAAGGCAACTGTGAAGCTAAGTAAATGTAATGTTTGGTGGTTATTTTTATTGGTAGTCAGATGTTTAAATCTGCAATTGGTTATAATGACCTGCAAAGATAGGTGGTCTATTATTACACATGCTAAAGGCTATAATTCGTTTCTCGTGTTGTTTTGGACTGTCAGGCTAAGACTTGGCAAAGTCACCGTGTGACATTTTCATTTTACATCTGTCACTACAGTCTCAGTAAGTAGATGGTGTACAATCTCTTTGCCTTGGTTTTAAATGTAAAATACATAGGCCATCAAAAATGTGAACACAGGTATGTAAAGTAAAAGTTGAAGTAAAGTAAGTGGATTTAGGGCTTCACAAACAATTAATTGTGAACTGCTGGTATTGCTTTGGAAGGAACAGTTTGAAAAACCAGAAAGGTGTATTCAGTAACTAATTTCTTCACCTCTTAATTCTACAGCGCTTTGAGCTTCAAGATTCAGAAAACCACTTGATTCCCAGAAAGATTACTAAAGTAGAAAGTGTACATGGAAACAAACCCTTCAAAGCTGATGTAACTGTCCAAATTGGTGAAAAAGAAGTGACATTCCAGGTATGAATTTATATTCATCAAACTATAATGTGTTTTTAAAAATCACTAACTTGTTTTCATCAAGAATTTGACACTTACACTTGATACTGAAAGTAATTTGAATTTTTTTTAATACATGATATTTACTGGAAATGCATTTAGATATTGGAATATTAGTTTATGAATATACAAGATTTTATTTCTAGATAAACGCATACCTCCATGTGAATCATTACAGTTTGGATGAAAAAAAAAGCCTCTGAATTTCTTCTTTTTTAAATTGGATTAGAATAGCAGAGAGTACTTATGATACTCTTGATGCTGCTTTCCCTTTTTCTTTTAGTAAAAACAATAGTCTGTCTTGGTTTACACTTCAAATAAAATCTAATGAGTGCTTGGTAATGTTCTGACACAGGATGTTGGAAAAATGGAACAAAGTAATCACATCAAATATGATTAGTTTGAGTTTCTTCCAATGAAGTTTATGACCTGCTAGGTAGTGAAATAAGTTCTTATTCAGGAAACAGATGCTGATCTGAGAATTTGAAGTTAATGTGGAATTTGGAGAGTCTAGAGAGTCTGTAAAGGTGAATTAGTGTGAGTCAGAGAGATCACAGTAACATTGGTGAGTAATATCCTCAGAGAGTTTGTACCATGACAAAGTTAAAAGGGGAACAACAGCAAATGGGAATTTTTCAGGAAAAGGTGAGTCTGTAGGCATCTGATTCAACTCTTTTCTGAGGCAAAGATTTTTGTTTTCATTTGACATATGGGTGATGACTTCTGAAAGTATGTCTGCAAAATGTCTCTGGGACATAAGAAGTTTGCAGATGAAACAGTTATCAGACTAGAGCAGGAAGTGGGAATAGAGCAAGTGCCTTAATGTGGTGAACAATTGAAACTCTCCAAGGTTCTGGTCAAAGTAACTCCTTCAGATTTTCACAATACTAATTGCTCTTTCTCTTCTGTGTTTCTCTGATGAGCAGTGAATATTGGGTTTTTTTGTTTTGTCTCTAGCACAAAAAGCCTAAAGTTCTTTGCAGACCCCAAAGCTGCAATTGTATTGATTCACATTTTGTTAATTTTTTTCATGAAGTGTGGACAAAGGAGATGTGAAGGACTTTGTCTATTAGAAATTATATGATTAAATTTTGTGACAGTGACAATTTCAAGTTTGATGGATGACAATTATCAGCAAAATATTACAGTAGTTTTGGACAAGTGTCACCTAGTCTACACAAGCCTAGCATTATCATGGTGTAGCTTATTTAGGATTATGATTTTTTTTTTTCTTATAGGTTCCAGCTGGAACTGGACTGTTAAAAAATCATCCTCGATCAGATACTTTCATAAGGACTTCCAGCCATAATCAACTGTTGGCAGAAATGATGCAATCCCATATGGTTAAAGATATGTGCTTAATTGGAGGAAAAGTAAGAATTTAAATTTCAATTCTCCCCCTTTCCTCATGATCCTTAGAATGTAATCTAGTTCTTATTTTTTTACTTTTTAGGGCTGTGGCAAAACCGTTATTGCTAAGGAGTTTGCTGATATACTGGGATATAGCATAGAACCTATCATGCTTTACCAGGTAAGGAAACTATCTGCTGATGATCATGCTTTAAATATGATCTCAAGTATAATACACAGACCTTGATTCTTTGTGTATACTGTTCTTCTCAATCAGTGACTTTAAAAGCTGCAGCTATGTTCATAAAACATAGGTTAAAACATCAGTTAAAACAATAAAGGAAGCAAAGATTTCAACGATAGCAAAGTCTTATGATCATTATAGAGCATTTTTTGCTCTCTGTGTTAGAATGCTCATCTAAGTCTCTTCTTACTGCAGGCCTAAATAGAGGGAGTACAGTGCAGCAATATAGATAGTACAATGTTATTACATATAAACTGATCCTGATACTGCTTTCCTTCAATTTTATTGAGTTCATTGTGAATGTGAAAGAGATAATCTAAGTAAAATGTATAGAGAATCATCTAACACAATGGTCTTTCTTCTCACCACAGAGAATTGACAACTCATTCTGTACTTTGGCATTCAGTGTTGTAAAGAAAACTTTGTCTTTTGTGTCTTCTCCTTTTTGGATTTTTTTTGTTTCCTGCCTTTGTGTCAGAGTAGTGACCACTGTAGTTCATGCATGTTGAATGCCTCTGGAAGACCTTTTGTAGTTCCTTTTTTGTTCATCTTGGTCCATATGCCATTTAATCTTATAATGAAATACTGCAATATCAGCACAATTTTTATATAGTTATGACAGATAATTTCTTTTTGGTATTATGAATGCACCATGGGGTTTATGTTTCTGGGGAATTTTTTAAAAGTTATTCTTCATGTAACATAGGCTTAATCTATCTTTTTTTTTTTTATGTGTCTCCTCTGTCAAGATCTCCTGATATCCTCTTATATGTTTTTTTTTCTGGTGCCCAAGATGTGGAATTTTAATCAATATTATAAATTCAGTGCCTTTTCTTTTTTTATATTTATGTTTAATCTGATTACAATTGTGGTGGGACTGTGTTGCAGTAGAGATTAGAAGTTGAAGTTCCATGTGTAAAAATATTGCATCCTAGAAATGGAAAACAAGGACTGGTGTTTAAATGTAATATATACATATTGTATTCAATGAATATTAACTTCATTATTCATAGATACTATAGCAAACAGACAGTAGTCTTCCATCCTTAACCTAATTGATGCTAATTTATTTATGTTGTGTCTTAGTACAAGTGTGGCTTTGAAGATAAATTTGGGGTGAAGTGTGTGCAAACATAGTTTGAGACATGCACAGGCAGTTGACATAGTTGCCTTAAAATTTAGCTGCATTTTTCATGTATTGGAAGAAGACATTTACAGTAATTTAAAAAGTAAGGGCAGTGTGAATGTTTTTACTGAGTAAATTGTAAATTTTGTATTAAAAAAGATTAACATAGAAGTAGTAGCAGTGGTTCCAGGGGGATTAGACATGTAGAATAATAAGGGAAAGAAGATTTTGGAGTTGTCTGTTGTCTTGGAGTATGATAAACAAGGCGCAGCAGGGCTGCTATACATTTAGGGTTTTTTCCTTGTATTTCATCTGAACAGTGCTTCAGGCTTTCTCACAGCACTAGAGGTGTTGGGGTTTTTTGCAAACCTCCAAGCTCTGTCATAGCCAAGCCATGTCATAGCCAGTGGTCACTCAGTACATGTTTGGAAAGAATTGTGTCTTAGACTGTAATACACTCTAACCTCATGGCATAAACTGAAAAATTACAAGATTTAAAAGTAGAATTAATTAATTTGCTAGCTTTTCACACGGAGAGAGATCAAGTGTAAGGTTTCCTCCATAACCTTGAGGAATGGAAACATTCAAATAAAATATGAAGTCAAGAGTCTCGTATGACCTTATGAGTCAAAATATACCAAATATCACAGGATTTACAGTTGTGAGTGATAATTGGCAATGCCGCAGGGAAACATTAACATCAGATTTAATGCAGTATATTGGTCTCTTTCTTCCATCCCTTTTCTGCTTTACATTTTTCCCAGACAGCGTGGAGACCTCCAAAGGAAGAAATGGCAGTGGCGTCTGATTTGGAAGTATAATGGCATGTGGGGAGAGACACTGATAGAAATGGGTGATGAGGCTGAAGGGTTGAAACAGACAAAAAGTGAGAGAATATAGAGAAGAGAAATACTGATGATGATGAAAAAAGGCAGTCTGTTTTATGTTTTCTTGCACTGTTGAGAACCTCCCCAGACAGGATCTCACGGCTTTTCCTTCCCCCTATATGGCTTCAGATGCTAAGGGCACAGACTTTGAAACTCTATCTGCGTAGTTGAAGTCAGACAGATGACTTCTGCCCTTTTCTAATGCTTTAACTTTACATGGTCAGGTGTGAGCAGATTTGGGTTCCAAAGCTACATATCCTCATCAATGCAATGTTACATTTGTAGTAATATACTTGGATTCCCAGCAGCACCTATTATCTTTTGTATAGTGGTCTACTAAGATAAATGTATAGCTTCTGAACCAGAACTGAGTGCATCCAGCCAGTCTGTGTACTTCTCTCTATACTTGTCACTGTAAACATATTTTTAAATCATCCCAGGAAAATAACTTTTGCAGCTTGACAAACCTGATGAAGGACAAGCACACCCTAACCCTGGATTTGTTGTACACAATATTGGGTATTCACCAGCAAAATATGTAATAACGTATCAGGGGCTTTGCATAGCAAAGTAATAGGATAATTTAATGACAACAGGTGTTAAATTCATATACTAATTCAGCAATGAAGACTATGAAAAGTTTGATAATGCTGTAAATCTAGCATTTTTTTTCTACTTTGATTCAAAAGAGCGTCTTTTTGTTTCTTTTTTTTCAGAGAGACATCATATTGTCCTAAATCCATTTCAAAAATTAAGGAGGTTTTTATTTGTCCTGTGGTTCATTTTTATTTTCCAGTGATTTCTGCAGGCACAAAAATGAGTAGTGGGGCACTTACCCTTGGTCTGAAGCAATAGCACTGTTTTTCTTCAGGCTCTGTGAAGAAATGAATTCTTGGATTTTTTTATATACGTATGATCTTTACTTTTAATATTTGCTTCATCATTCTTTGCATCTGAAGTTGGTTTAAGGGTTTGGGAAGTGTGAAAAGGCCTATCTCTCTATATTGATTTCATCAAAAACCCCAACTCTAAAAGCTTTTATGTTGTGAGATGAGAATCAAATTTACCTAAATCAAACCTTTTGAGAACCTAGATCATCATATACTAATAGCTGGCTCAGTGAATAGTTCCTGTCTCATTTGTGATATCTGACATCAGTATACGGATTTCTCATTATATGCAATTCCGTGTAGGCAAATTGCTGAGAAAGGAAACTCATCCTGATTAGGAAAGGTTTGTTTTTAACTTGTCTCTTAATGCAGATAAGCAACAGCAAATGAGGAGCAGCAACCAGCTAGTTCTTTGTGGACTGTATCTAAGGAACTTTTAGTTTAAATAGTGTAAAATATAAGATTTTCTCCTCCCAGAGTTTCAGAGGAAAAAAAAGTAACAGTCAGAGTTATAAGTTTTCCAGCAACTTGCTCCTTTTCTTCTGCAGCAAAACCAGTCTTTTAAGCACATCACTAGTGTTTGTGTACTGCGATGTTTTTGTTTCTAGAACTTTTTTTATTCATATGACCTCATAATTTTTCTTTACAAAATCCTTCCAATTTTGTATTTGAGAAATACTAACAAATGATGAGTCCAAGTTGGCGTGAAAAGCAGGAAACATAGATTTTTCACCTCATAATTGCCAAGAACGTGATTAGTATTGTGAGCCATGAAGGATGCCTAGGTTGGAGGCTTGTATTGGTATAGCTGCTAAAAGGGAATGGAACAGAAGTTACCCTACTTGTTTTCTCTCCTAAACATCTTTTTTCCCCCCCTGAATACAGGCTATTTTAGAAAATAAACAATGCAATGTAAACCACTTAAGTTACAATGACTGTTACAAATTAAAATAAGCTTTTTGTTTATATGGCAATATATTGTTGCCATTGCTTTGTCCAAAATAAGAGGCAAAATTAATTCTTATTCTCTCCTCCAAAGGGAGGCATTTTTCAGTATTAGAGTATTATAAGACTATTTTTAATATCACATATGAAATTATTTAATAAAATTTATTAAAAATTGGGTAAGAGTGAATAAATAAAAATAATAAGTCACTGGGCAAGTACTTAACCATAAAATAAGTCCCTTACAAAAACTGCAGGTGTTAGCAACGATATTTCTTTTAATGTGTCCCTAAATTGAATAATATTCAACCATTTAAATCACAATATAAATATTCATTTTATATTTCAGAAAATATCTTGCAGCAAAATACACTTCTGAGTTTATCTCCAGAAAATTAATGCATTGTTCTCAAGTGTTGTTTGAATTAGAGGTGGACATGCTATATAGCATACTAGGCTCTCAGTCAATTCATACTCTATGCTGTTTCATTTCTCTAGAGGTGAAATAGTTCTCTGAATTATAAAAGGTGTGTTAGTTAATTATTCAGTTACAGCATTTACTAGCTGCAGAATGCAGTTCTTATGCAAGTCCTGAAAACACAGGATTGATAAAAATGTTTCATGTTATAGTTTTAGTCTAATTAATAGAAAAGAGCAAACACAGCAGTAAAACAACAGAAATGCAACAATAAATATAGGGTATGGTTTTGAGGATTTGAATGTGAGACTTTAAATTATACAAATGTGGAAGCACCGAAGGAACGAGACTTTGTCCTGTTATTTTAGGGCTTTTAAGGAAATATAGAAAGAGGAAATGATTCAGGGCATATGACGTAATATATTCTATTTTTATTCTTTAAAGTTCAAAGGGTTTGTAGTTGTGAAAAGTACATATGTAAAAGCTACAACTACATAAAAAATATATTCTCATCTGATTGTAGATTAAATTGTGGTCACAGCACAGCTCGAAGAAGGAATTTAATCTTCCAGGTCACAAAATTACTATTATGTCTTTGTTACTCTAGTGCTTACCTGTTCTAATGGAATATCTAAAATATGTTTGCTAGAGGATATAATAGATTTTGCCTTTGGTTTTGTTCTATCCCTTAAGCATTATTTTGTGATATGCTATATATTTTTGACATTATATGTGTTAATGTCTTCTTTCTTACCCTTGTCCATTATTCTGTTATGCTTCCACTGCATTTTCCTACTGAGAGGTGGACTATCATGCTGCGTTCAAGATTAATGATGAAATCTTTGCTTTTTCAGATGGCTCCATATGAAAGAAATTATTCTTGTTTGTTCCAGGTGTAAATTACTGCCCCCATCTGTACACAGAGCTGTGTACAAGTTGTCATATGCTGGTATTGTGTTAAAGGAGCAGGCTGGGAGAGTAAGGCTTTTGTTCTTGTTTCAAAGAGGTGACATTGCAAGAACTAGAACTTCCAAAGACTGTTTAACATTTTGTGTGTAGATTTGTGTGTGTATTTCTAATCCTCTTTGGAAAAGTAATTGAAGATTTTCTGCTAGTCTTCCATGGGTATATCCTTAAGGAAGAACAAAAAGCAGTTTTTTAAGGAGAAAGCATGTACCTGTAAATTAAGAAAATAGAGCATGAGCATAAATATATTCTTCTGATGAATTGATACTTACAGGATATGACAGCCAGAGACTTGCTACAGCAAAGGTACACTCTTCCTAATGGAGACACTGCTTGGAGACCGTCGCCACTTGTTACTGCAGCTCTGGAAGGAAAGCTTGTTATTCTTGATGGCATTCATCGAATTAACCCTGGCACTCTAGCTGTACTTCAAAGGTCAGGATGTGAGCACAGCTAAGTTGGGTGTATGTGATATTTTTGTTGAGCGCATGTATACTGAGAAGTTAAGTTCCTTCTGGTGAATATGGCTTTGTAAATTCAAGAATGCTGTAAAGATCAAGCTGAGTGTTAAAGTTTCATAGAATAGGTAATGCTCATTTTTTTACGTAATTAAAAGCAGAAGCAATTATTTCATTTTTTGTAAGTCTACAATAATACAGGAAATTTAAATCTGTTTTAACTATGGAATGTAAGTCTGAATTTTTGAATGAGCTAGATTTTACTCTAAAATTATGAAATCTAAAAATTAGTAATATTTGCACAATATTTGAACATGCAAGATGTCAAAAAAATTTTAATACTTTGAGTGCATTCTGCTTCTAAATAATATGTGATCATTACAGTTATATGTAAAAGTATACTTTATATTGATTGCAAAGAACTATTTCTAAACATTATTCCATAATTCAATAAAAAATTAGTTAAACTTTGCAGAACAGAAACAGTAATAGCAAATACTATGTTAATAATAATCTGTAATATCAGGTCAATTTTTTCTGATATTTCATATGCCTGCATCATATACTGCCTTTTGTAAACGTAAAGGACATCTAGAGCTTTAAAACAGGTTGTAGCAAAAACATTTTGTGCTTTCTGTTATTATATATATATGCAGAAGGGCAGAAGAGAGAATTGTACTTGCCTGTGTTTTTGCTTTGTCATCAGTTTAACTTTCCATTATGATTTTTTCTTCTGACGTGTGCATGCGTTATAGCTAATCAACTTCTGCCTACAAAAAAAATAAAAGCTAGGTCTGTATGTATGTTAATCATTAAAGCCAGCTGAAAGATATCTCTTCAAGAAACAAAAGAAAAATATATTACTTGGTACAAGCATAACAAAACAGCTGTTTCATGCCATTTATGCACACTCCACTGGTAAGAAGGATGTTTTTTATTTTTTGTGTTCTTACCATATCTGTTTAAACTAAGTTGACTGACTCTGTGCTAAAACTTATGCATGTTATTTTACCTCCATGCGTGGATGCATCTGAAGTTGTTATAACTTTTTCTGTGGCCCATATTGACTGAGATAGCTTTTAAAAAAACACGTGGAGTTATAGATATTTTAAAAATTAATCAGTGGCTAGCTAGAGCTTATTCTTTATTTTCAGACTAGTGCATGACAGAGAACTGACTCTGTATGATGGCACCAGATTGTTAAGGAAAGATAGATATCAAAACTTAAAAGAAGAATTACAGCTCTCTGATGAAAAACTACGCGAAAGGTAAAGTATCAGCTACAACTATAGAAGCAAACAGCATTTAATTTTTTTCATTTTTTTTAATAAAAAACTGCAAAATGCTTTTCTATTGAATAGATACCTTCTAATCACTAGGAGAAACATCTTTTAAACATCAGGTTCCTTGTGAGCTCTATTTCTTTTTGTGACATGGGAAAATTATATCCTGTTTAGAGTACTTGAACTAGAAGGAAAATATTCAATATCCTTTAAGAGAAGCAGTTAGAAATTGAAGAGAAATTTTAAGTACATACAAAAATAGATACAAAGCTATATGATATTTAGTTTTGGAACATTTTATTAAAAGCCTTGGAAAATAAAGCTAAGTTGAAATTAAATACTACTTGTTACATTCTTTTGCCTCATTAGCTAGAAAGCTGGTATTTAATTTACAACTAATATGGGGCAGGAAATCCTAAGGATGGGTTGGGACCCATTATGCTTATTCTTTTTGTTCCTTCATTTCCACTTGTCTGCCAGAAACATTTCACAGATAGAAATGTTTTCTAGTCCTCTGAGGCCGTATTTGATACATAGTCAAACACTGCTGACCAATTCTAGTTTATGTTGAGGGTATGTCAAAACAAATGAAATCTAATATTCAGTAATATATAAGGAGCTAAACATTGTGATTCCGAAATGGATCTACCATCTGAAAAAACAGTTGAAGTTTTATGTCAGATGTCCGTGCTCATATTAATGCTGCATGCTGTGTGTGTGCCCACTATGAAGAGGCCTCATTGGTTATAGTTCATTATGTACTACCAAGTTTCTCTGAATTATCTCTCTGAATCTGATCTTTTTCTTTGACCTCCTTTATAGTCCACCCTTTTCTTTTACTAGTTGTTTTCTTATTTCTGGTTCCCTTTTTGATCAAAATACTGTGGATTTAAAAAAAAAAAAAGGACCAAAAAATGCACTACAAAACCAGCCAAAACCCCAAACTTCATTTTAAGCCCTCTGTTTTTTTGTAGGTATGGTGTAATCTAAGCCTACTTGTTGCAAATTCTATCCACTCTGCTGAGACCATACACTTAGCTAGATGGTCATTTCCTGCATTTGCTTTATTTGAGTGAAGAACTGTACATCAGGGAAGTGTTCTGTTTATTGGGATTTTAAGCATAGACTTCGAAAGAGTGGTAAAAAAGCTCCAAGGGCCCATCTAGGTTGGTATCCCAACTTTGCAGTGGACTCTGTACTTCCAGATATACCTATTGTGTAAGGCTCCTCCCTGCTTCATGTTCATGGTCTTGTCCAAGGTGCCTTCAGGCAGAATGGCAGTAGCTGTACTGTTTTGCTTACTGCCTAGGACCCTTTATTTCATTGCCAATATATTCCAAAAACCTAGACAATGAATTGCACATTCATCTTCAGTACTGCCCCTCTTACTAAATCAAATCTCTTTCACAAGAATAGAGCTTTACATCTGGATTCTGCGTCTCCTTTATAACTATGGCTGTTTTGGCAATGGACTCCCTTTAACCTTCATTAGCTGTTAAATCATGAGAACTATCCAGGCTGTCTTCTTCAATCATTGTTCTGCAGACCCTTCTTACTGTGTCACCTCTGAATCTACTTTCCTTCCTTTCAGTCTCATTGAGTAACCTGATGGTTCCACTGTTCTGTTCAGTGATAATTGTGCATTTGTGCATTGGTTTTGGTACTTTGGAGGCTCCGTAAGTCTTTTTTTTTGGGGGGGGGGCTTTCCTTGAAAGGCTGTCTCTCTCTCCTTCAGATTGCAATGTACTGCTTTTACCTAACCACTTTAATATTTTGCAACATAGTGTTTTGTGAGTTGCTAAACTCTTAGGTATCTGTTTGACTGACAGTGAGCTCTCGCTCTAATCCATGAGTGAGAGGTGTCTGCTGTATTAGGCAGGAATGAATTTTTGATTACTACTTGGTCTTAAAAACAGACAGATACCCCACTGTTTAGACGTGCTTGCATCTGGAAACTCGGTGTAACCATTTAGCTCCATCTTGGCTATAGATGAAAATTCTTCATCCTGAATTATCTGAAGTCCATTTTGCTGAGAATCCTATCCTTCTCCTAGGTGAAACATTCAGTCTGCTCTTGTTTTCTCTACTGACTTAATTCAAAAGAAACCAGGTTAAAGTAACGCAAACATGTAACCACTTCTTTGGTTTTGGCTATGGGCTTCTTTGACATCACTGGACAACTCCTCTCTGCAGAGGGGCACTGTTCTCATGAGCCCTTGAGAAACTGAAGGTGTTCTAGGACTTCATCCTGGTTTTGGTGCCTTCCATATTCTGTAAATATCACTACCTTTCACTGGCTCCAGGATGCGATGTCAGTAGTTGACATCTTTGATTCCAGAACTGTATTCTTCCTTGCTGCTCATCCTTTTCAGCAGTAGTTACCTGTCACTGCAAGCTTCAGTACCTCCCAGTGTTGGCAGAATGCTGCAGAATTAACCCTTCTCTCCAGGCACCTTCTCATCAAATGATATCTGAGGTACTGACAGCTGATTTAATCACAGACTTTATTCATGATGGTGCTAACCATCCCTCCTTTGCCTGCAACGTATTGCCTTGTGGAGAAGTGACACAGAGTGTGTTGTACCATGAATTTATTAGCAGATTGGCTGAGCAAATTCTTACTGGATTGCAACTGGGAGATGCTTTCTGTATTGATAAGAAACATCTGTCTTGCTGCATGTCACTGACTGTGGCTAGTGGTGTTAGCTGTATTTCTGATGTTAGAGTAAGATGAAAAGACAGCTTTACCCTGATTTACTGGATTTGACTAAAGTAATTTCACTGTAATTGCTCTTTGCCAGGTGAGTGGAATTTATGATATCATTCCCAGTTTGGACTGAATTTGCGATATTTGAGTGACACATTAAGTCTACTGGTAATTTTCCAATTAGGGAGTTCCTGTGTAAAGTGGTTTCAAGTTTTGTTTGAATCAGAGGATTATTCTGACTTTTTTTTTTTACAAGTCCCACTCATTTGTAAATTGGGAATCAATATGGTACAAAGGATACATATTATCTACCTGGTATCATGCTAATGTAGTTCTTAAGAGAAACAGAGGAAGAGGAAGAAACATACTGAAAGGCACATCAATGATTCACTGGAGGTGCATTCAGCTCAGCTCTGCTGTGCATGAGTGTTCTTGATTGTAGCGACTATTTGTAATATAGTTTCCAGTTTCTTTCTTCTGTGCTACTTCTAATTGTTCATAAATGCAAAATAACTCGTTGTTACTCTCTGTTCCCTTAATTTAAGACTCACTAGTGACGTGGCCAGATGCTATTGTAAGGTACATAAATACAAATATGTCTTTCATATTGGAAAAGAAAAATGGATAATGCTTTTTAGTAGACTACTTTGTGAATGGAATTTTAAAACAGAATTTCCATCTAAATCTGTTTTAGAGAGAAGGTGTACCATTCCTAACCAATGAGTCAAAAGTTCTGTAAACACTTTTTTTAGTCTCTGTTTGTAAAAGGATTTGGCACACCTAAAGATTTTCCCCATTTTTAAGAAGATAAAAAATTGTGATACTAATGGAGATGTTTTAGGAGACTCCTTCTTCAGACGAGCAAGCCACATTTTGGACTAGGCTTTCGTGTTCCTATATGAAAATGCTTGATATTAAAAAAAATAATATTTTCCCACAGTTTTAGTGCCTTTAATTTTTAATGCTTCAATAGTCAGAATACTCATCTGTGTAGTAGAAGAGAAAGAAGAAGAGGGTCAAGAGTTTGTTGATTTTTTTTTTTTTTTACTAAAGGGGTGGTATTTCAGATCACATTATGGTCTAAAGAAATCATTGAGTTATATGTTCACTGTTATTTCATTACACTTCTACATCTGTATAAAAATTACCATTTTTCTAAGAAAAGCTTGAGACTGGTGAATGCAATAGCTCTCTCAGGACTGACAAGTCCAAGCAATATGTTGCTCTTGCCCTTGATTTTGGGATACTCTTTGGCCTGCTGAAAGCCTGTAAGCTACAAGGTAACTAGTACTGGCCACAGTGTCATTTTTCCTCTATTTTTTGTTATGCTAGTTTGGCTGTGGAGTTAAGTTAGCAAACATAGTAAGATAACATTCATTCATTTGAGGAGACTAAGAATTCTTGTTTATGAGTTTAAGGAGAAGAAAAGAAAGCAGCCCTTGAGAAAGTGACAGATGGTCCTTCAAGATATTTTACGTAGAAGGAAATTATAGATGCTGATACGTTATTCATTTCCCCAAACAGGTTCAGAGATTAAGAGAAAGTGTGTTCAGGTACTGTGCATATCCAAGATTTCTGCATAGAATTTCTTCTATAATCATCCATTACTTCACCAAGACAGATACTGTAAAGATAACACACAGCCTTTGCAAGACAAGCGGTGAAGTGTTTATCTCATGATAAGGTATTTTAACCTGTTTGTGTGGATATACCCCCCCAGAACACATGCACACACACACGCAGGTGTGAAGTCCTTGTTGTGGTGAGCAGAAAGGCAGCTATTATAGGAAAATTCAGAAAAAGGTATATAATAGGATAGTTCAAAAGCTAAAAGAAGTCACTCATAATTCATGGATGGTTTTAATGCCTTGCAGACAGTGAATTATTTTCCATGCAATTAGGTTGGAACACACAGTAGATGAAACAAATATGAAGTGCGGCAGGGAGTGACTTTATCAAGCAATAGAATTTTTAATTGCTTACATTTTTTAGCTTTTCCTTCATTTGTTGTTGAGGGGTTTGGTTTTTTCCGAATTTAGTGAATTTTAAGGTAAAGTAATTTGTCAATTTTAGACTGCAGTGAAGTTTAAGAAATACAGTAAGAAAGTAACAATAGGTAATTTTGGTCCTAGTATTATAACAATTCCCAAGTAATAAAAATTGATAGAAAATGAGATTTATTAAATCATTTTACAGGAAGAGACAAGCAAAAATAGTTTGGTTTTGCACAGTGGCATTAGAAATGCCATTCTGCATTGTATTTCTTTTTTTTCTGAGAAACTTCAATTGCTCAGAACCATGTGTCAATAACAAGAAAATCTTCCCCTAAAATTGCCCACACTGTGTTCTGATCTGCCTCTCGAGAGCAGTGGTGGTAATCCTTGGTTGGAATTAAACAGTGGTGTCAAAAGAAGGACACTCATTTTATTAGGAGAGTGCTCTGCTGCCTGTGTTGTCAATAAATATTTGATAGAGAGAAGGATAGAGACTCTGCATGAATCAATTAACACCAAATCTTCCCACTGTCTTTGAGGCTCATTAATTAAAAGACGCCAGGTTTTTAACAAGATACACTTACTTGGCCTTCATTTGCAAAAAACACAAGATTTCCTGTCATGTCAAAGATTTCTTTTCTATAAAGTACAGCTCCACATGGGAACTCTCCATATTATATCCCTTTAGAGTCTCGGTCTATAATGTGATGGAATAACTTTGAAGCTCTTCAGTTGTGCTGATGGATTGAGTAATTTGTGGCATTTGTTTTAATAATACACTTAGCTTGCCATTTTCAACATTGCAAACGTCAGTCCAAACAATAGGCTTTTGGAGTAGCCAAATAGTTTTATTCATGTTTACAAACTGGATGCCTACAACAGCGATGTTGTGATATGTCCAAGTCTAGAGATTACTCAGTGAATTTAACTGATATCACCAAATTAGCTTGCCCTGACTTTGCATCTACTCTCCTCCCACTTCTTTCTATGCTTTTCTTGGCTGTCCCCATGATGCCCTTTGAGTTAGACAGTGCCGAGGAGGTGATACAAAAGAAATGTGATTCCTTTACCAGGAAAGTTGACTGCTTCTTGTGTTCTCTTATGGTATTGCAGAAGGGCTAGAATTTGATGGATTTCTGGAGGAGGGTTGTTTTTCTTCCTAGTAATGTAGCGAAAGGCAAGTCTGTAGTTATATGTATTTATCCTATCTAGGAAATGTTTTCTTCTATAATAAGGTTGGCTGCTGTTCCCTGACCTTTTTTTATGCTTAGTGACAATGACATTCCCATTGGTTCCTCTTTCATGTGATGTTTTCAGACATCTATTTCTATTTTTATCAATCAGGGAGTAGCTTCTAGGCTTATGACTTTCAGCTGAGAATAACTCATGCTACTGCCTTAGTTTGCTTTGATACAAGAGACTGCTGTGATTGCCCTGTTGTATCACAGGTTTATTGTTGTGTCGAACAGCCAACTATGCAGTAGATTTGTTGAGCTATGTCTTCAGTAATTTATAAAGAAAATGACATGGTAACAGCAATATAAGTTGTCTAATTAAATGTTTCTTGCTTTTTCTAAACGAGCATCTATTTTAATAAAAGTACTGTAAAATAAGTTGTTGAAAACAGGCCCTCCTCGCACAATTTGACTGGCTTTTGTGTCTGACTTGTTATCCTATTATTTCTGCTGCTTCTAGAGATCATGCAGTTGTGCCAATTGATGAGTACCAATGAATGTCCAGTCAGAGGAGGTGAAAATATTACATAAATAAAGAATACAAAAGATGTGAAGAAGACAAAGATGCTAAAATCAAAGGCAGTGGTCTTTTAGTGCCCTAACACATCTAAAAGTTGTATATTTAAGTCTGTGTTGTAAGCTCCCATTATCTTCAGTGGAATCAAGACTATTAGTCACCTAATCATGCAGTGAGAACTGAGGAACACTGGCTGAAGCTAGCAGGTCAGTTCCATAAAGATTTAAAAAACAATAATAATAAAAGTACCTTTTACACCTGGGAACAGTGCATATGTTGTCACAGGCAGTTTTGGAGGCAGATAGGATGAATAAGTTCGGAAGGGTGTTGAACAAATTTGTGGGGAAACGGACATTAAAGCAAATAGAGATCTACCCTGTGATATCCTTGAAGATATGGTTGTACGTGCTGGGCGAGTATGAGGAGGATAGACTGCTGGTAGTGGCTAGACTTTTGTGCTTTCCCCAAGGAGTACCTCCAGCTGTCGTAATGAGGGATGGTACATGTAGTGGGATGGGTAGATTTAAGGATGCAGGACAGTAATTCTTAAGTTCTTGTATGTCGTAATCTGTCTTTTGAGAGACGTCTCCTCATGCTGACTCTAAAATGAGCCAGGGGTGAGGTGATTGGTTTGGTCTTTGAAGCACAACTTTCAGGAGTATTATGAAGTTAGGCATATTAATCTCATGCTAAGAGTCTAGATGATCTTCCAAGGGCCACAAAGAGCATCTGTAAGGGGAATACTCTTAGACTGTTACTAAATTCATCTTTTCATGGTATCTGGACCAGTCTCTACAGTGTCATCCTTTCTGTCAATCTAATTGAGTACAAGAAGTTACTCATTACTGCAGCTCTGGTAGGTCTTGTTTTCTCCCTGTGAGACATCCTGCTTTAGGTAAAGCACTTGAAAAAGTCCATCAAATGAGTGAGATGTGTCCATTTCAGATATACAACACAGTAGACTGTAGCTTAGTTGGGTGCCCTTCTGAACATAAAAAGATGTGTAAATTTTTTAAAATTGCAAGTCCCATTATGCAGCCTTTTTTTTTTTACAAAGTTGCATTGCAAATGATCTGAATATACTGTTATATGATTCAGTACAATAATTTATCTCTTTTTTTTTCATCTGTTGTAAAATTTAAATTTGATATTCACTGCTTAAGCCAGGTAATGCATTTTTAAACTCTTTTTTTTTTTGTAGGTCTATCTTTCCTATCCATCCTTCTTTCAGAATAGTGGTCTTAGCAGAACCTCCTGTCATTGGAAGTAGTACCCAACAATGGCTGGGTCCAGAGTTTTTGACACTGTTTCTTTTTCATAATGTTCGATCTTTAAGCAAGAGTGAAGAAATTGAAGTTATTAAAAGAATGGTAAGTATATTCAGTATTTTAGTCACTTACTGACTACCACTTACTGAACAGGTTTATTTGGTACATAAAGAAACATATTGCTGTTTCACTGTAGCATAAATGAGTTACTTTTCACAGCTTATCAAAGCAGCATATCTGCTTTTCTTTTAATGTTATTATTCTTATTGTGATATTAAATGATACTGTAATAAGAAAGTAGTCTTCATAATAAAGCAACTGTGACAACTGTGTGCTCATTGCATCTAAGTGTAGCTGTATGTGGAACTTGCATATCTTGCAGTAAGATTAATGCCGTTTTTCTTTCAGATTCCAAATGTACCCAGTGTTGCTGTGGAGCAGTTGTTGTCATTAACACACAAGCTTCGAGAAACAAATGATGCCACAGTGAGCCCTTTCTCTTTTTTTTTTTTTTTCTCCTTAAATTTACTATCTCCTGCTATGGCTGTTTTAGCAAAGGCTGGGTGAAACGTGCTAAGCTATAGTGTTATTTCAGCTGAGTGGAAAACCAGCCCCAGAAAATTTTTGCTGGCAATTACTGCACTGCATAATCTAAACTTTTTTTATGTATGATGTACATATTTGGAGTCTGCGTAAGTAAAGCTTTTAGGAATTTGCTTGAATTCCAGAGAATCAAGAAGAACAGTACACATGTTGTCAGTGAGTTTAGATATGTGGCTCACAGTGAAACATGGTGACATGCCTTTTGAATAGGTTTGTGCATTCAAATACATTTTGATTACTTCACTTTAGTAACTGGAAATTTGATAGATAACATTTTTGAGGCTTTTTGGGCAATAGGAGCTACGTGGACATTATAAAATGCTGGTAGGCAGCAGTAAAGACTCAGGAAAGGGAAAGCCCCAGAACTTCCGGCTGCATTACTGCTATAGGCTATTCTATTAAAGACGACATGTCAAGAAAAATAAGTTCTGCTGACAGAGTGACCACAAAATTCCTTAAAAAGATACAGCTAAGTCATAATGAAAAAAAAAGAAATTATTGCTATGGCAACTAAAACACTGCGTGTTTTTGATGTAACTAAAATGTAAAACATTTTTACTGGAGTCCAGGAGTTTAACTGGTGTGGAAACTCATTGTCTTTAATTTTTATGATTTTAACTCAGTTAATAGTTTTTACAGTCTTACTATTTAAGAACCTGAGAGAGGCTGTTATGGTCTTTTGAGCTTAAAAAAAGTAAGTGAAAAGGTAGACGTTTCGGTACACTTTTGGGACAGAGTTGTTATTATTATCTATTTAGCTTCCTATATCTAATGTATAAGTGTATTGTTTTTGGCATACTTGGACACATACCATGCCTAAATAGAGCATTACAAAAATCCTTTCCAAATATGGACTTGTGGTTATCTGTAGAATTGTGAAATACCTAAACGAATTATATGATGTTGGCTAAGAAGTGAGTCACAGTATGGTTTGAGGGAGGATTCTTGTAGATCAACAGTGACATAAGACATGTCGGGAATAGCACACCTGTGCAGAGAGCTGAAATGTGTGCCTTATGTATGTTAGGCTATTTATAGAGTTGTCTAAATAAATAAACCTCTGCCAGAGAGAATCCTGAAATATTAACCATTGTTTAAAGCGATTTTGTTAAAAATAGAGTACCTGTAGACTGTTCACTCTGTAGGTGTTGTCTGCGTCGTTGTAATTGTTTGCTTGATTTACAAGACACAATCAAGATCCTGTTGAATTAGATGTCTCATATATATTACAAAGAATGTCACTAACCCAATTTTGAGTTTATGGTTGTTCAAATTAAAAATACCAAACCATATAAGAAAGGAAGAAATTTGCTTACCAAAATTTTAACTACCAGTTGCAAATATCCAAAAGATGTGATGCAGCTTTTCCTCAGTGGTCCTGTTCCTCTGTGCTTATTTATTTCAGTGCAGGGTCTGAACCTATATATTATTTAGAATTTATATGCCCATGTCCCTAGATTGGACTTAATCAAGGTGGCACGATGTATGAAATACACTACCTCATTTCATATGCCCAGCTGCTTTTCTCCATCGGTGCAGTCTCATAGGTTGTGATTTATTGCCTATCTGCCAAAACTTGCTCTGCTTAAGAACCTTTCAGTTGTTTAAGATACTTTTGTGAAGACAGTATGATCTCCAAAGGCAGTGAGAGTTCTGGCTAGTAAGTAGGGATAGCAAGGATACAGCACTTGCTCCTCTCCCTTGCCCTTGCTTCATGCTTGGCTGTCATGGCTAGGCTTTGCGAATGAAGATTTGGGAAGGTCTCTACCCACGTTTCTTGCAAGCGCGTTGGTGGCTAAAAAGGCCAATACGAGAAAGGCATGTCTGGTTGCAAAAGACACAGCAGAGACTCCTTAGATGGTATATTCTGCAAGGCTCGATTCTTTCTGCGTTGTCTTTTCTCCTCAAGGGTGATCCTGCGTGCTTTCTCAAAAGCATCAGCAGCGTTATAGATGGTGTGTCTCCAGGCCTCCCGATTGGAGGCCAGAGTAGACCAGTTATGGTGATCAATATGCCCGAGGCTGAGTTGTTGCTTCAGGGAGTCCTTGTGTCTTTTCTTCGGGGCTCCTCTCTTGCGGCAGCCGGTGGCAAGTTCACCATAAAGAAGGATCTTAGGGAGGCAGTGGTCTTTCATCCTGGAGACGTGCCCCGCCCATCGCAGCTGCGTTCTCAGTAGCATGGCCTCAATACTTGTGATTGCTGCCTGTTCAAGAACAGATGTATTGGTCACATAATCTGACCAGTGGATGTTTAGGATTGTACGGAGGCAGCGTTGATGGAAGCGTTCTAGGAGGCGCAGGTGGTGGCGGTAGATGACCCATTATTCGGAACCATATAAAAGGGTAGACAGCACTATGGCTCTGTAAACACTGATCTTGGTACTTTTCTTCAAGTGTTTATTACGCCATACTCTTTTATGGAGTTTTCCAAAGGCACTATATGCCTTCGCTAACCTGTTGTCTATCTCCCCGTCAATCTTACCTTCCGAGGAGATGAGGCTGCCTAGGTAATTAAACTGTTGGACTGATTTGAGTTCTGTCTGGCTGATGGTGATGTGGGGATGATGGAGGACTTCCTGAGGTGCAGGTTGATGGAGAACTTCTGTCTTCTTTAAGCTGACTTCCCGCCCAAAGAGCTCAGCAGCGTCTGCAAAGCAGGATGTTAAACGCTGCAGGGCTGCTTCTGTGTGGGCAACAAGGGTGGCATCATCAGCATAAAGCAGCTCCCAGACAAGATGGTTTAGGGTCTTGGTGTGGGCCTTCAGTCGCCTTAGGTTGAATAGACTTCCATCAGTACGATACCAAATGTAGATACCGTCCTGATCATCGAGGTCTGCCGTGGCCCTTTGGAGCATCGTGCTGAAAAAGACTTTGAATAGGGTAGGAGCGAGAACGCAGCCTTGTTTCACACCATTCTTTATTAGAAAGGGCTCAGAAAGTGTGTTGCCATATCTGACTTGGCCGTGCTGATCCTCATGAAGTGAGATGATCATTTTAAGGAACTTGGGGGGACAACCTAAACGTTCCAAAATCTGCCAAAGACCTTTTCTGCTCACAGTATCGAAAGCCTTGGTGAGGTCGACAGAGACCTTTGTTCTGTTCCCTACACTTCTCTTGCAGTTGTCTGAGAACAAATACCATGTCTGTGGTGCTCCTGTTGGCTCTGAAACCACACTGACTTTCAGGTAGAAGTTCTTCTGCTATAGTGGGTATTAGTCTGTTCAAAAGTATTCTTGCCAGGATTTTGCCAGCAATGGAGAGCAGAGTAATACCACGGTAATTTGAGCTGAGCAGGTCTTGAAATAACACATGAAATGCTATCATTTATATCACAGTCTCCACAGTGCTGAGTGGTAAACTATGATTGTTCAGAAGATGCTGCACAATTTTCTATCAGTGAAAGCAGGAGGAGTAGTAATCTTTACAGTTAGCTCAGTCTAAAGAATTCTTGCTCATTGCTCAGAGCTATGCTTAAAAGGTATTGTTCTTTGCTTTCTCATAATTTGAGAAAAGTTTTGTAGAATTTCATAGAACTGATTTTTTTTTTAATATAAATACCTTTTTGTCAATATGGTAGTTTTTCAGGGGAAAGAATTGGGTTAAGACATTTCTCATGCTCAAAAATTAATAAGGGGAGTTAAAAAGGCTCTGAACTTCTTGAAGTGTTGCTTTTCTCTATTTTTTCCTCTGGATGTCAAATATCAAGACAACCGCAGTATATATTAAGGCAATTTTAATGCAGTTAGAAATCATGTATATGAACCCAAATGAAACATTTTGAAATTATCTAATTAAAATATTTCACTTGACCCAGGCAAAGCATGGCGTGACTTATCAGATCATGCTCATTGTTGTGTGTTTCCTGCGAAAATAAGGAACCTGTTTGTATTAGATACCTTCATCTGGCAGATATAATTATAGAATGATTTCTTTCTCAGTCTTTATATCTTTCTTTAAATACATCATCACTTGTTTTGAGATTCTGTTTGTTTGTTTTTTAAATTTTACTCTGTGTGTTTGAGATCCGTCTTCTCAAGCTTTGAATAATTTCTGTAAATCTTAGCTGAATCAAGTCCAGTTTTTAGCATTTATTTTAACATGTGGACAACAGAAAAGGACACAGTGTTCCAGTAATGGCCCGCCCAGAAGGCGTGTGCAGAGGTGATACAATCTCCTTACTGCTGCGCAGTGTTGTCTTGTTTATACGTCCAAGAATCCTGCCAGACCCTTTTTCCAGAGCATTACATGTGGAGCTCGTGTTCAGTTTGTGAAAAGCAGACGAGTTTTTAGCACATTGATCCTAACCTCGTTATTGTTAATATTGTTTAGTGTTAGGTTTTATATTGCACATAAAATTCAGTTCACAGCACATTTTTCTTCCTGTTGCTTACCAAGTGAAATCATAAGGCTAATCTTTTGATGACATAATGATTTCCATGACAGTGACTTATTGCAAAAAATAAGAATTACAAGCTTACCCATTAAAAAGCAGAAGTTGCTGTAGAAGATACAAAGAATCTATGAATTAGGAGAAAAATTGAAATAATTCCTTTTGGATTATGTTTTTCTCCTGACTTGTTTGATTTAAATCCTTCACACAGATTAAGTAATTAAACTATCTTGTATTTTTTGACAGGCACAGTCACTGGCTTCATTTTTATCTACTCGACAACTATTGCGAATTTGTCGCCGACTGTCACAACATCCAGATGAAAGCCTTTATGATGCTGTTAATAAAGCCTGCCTTTCCAGGTAGGACTGCTAGTTTTGGTGGAAGTTCAAGAGCTTCTTGGTCAGTTGCTAACATTCAAGATAGCTTTTAATGCATTTTAATGGTTAATACAATTGCTGTCTTGTTCCTAGAAGTCTGTAATTTCTTTAAAAATATTTCTGTGATATTCTCAAACCTAGAAGGTAAGTAGAAAGGACTTTGTACTCTTTCTCATCTTTATGAAGATACTTCATTACATTATATAAATGGGTTACCATTACCCACATTACTTCACTGTTTCAAAACACTCAAAGCAGAGCCATATTAATGTCTAGGATAACTGATGTTTTGTGGAGAGTTGGTTTCAGTTCTAAAAGCTGTATCTAGAAAAGCTAGGAACATCTACAGTTTTGTTGGTTTTGGTTTTTCTTTTGTGGCCTTTGGTTTGCTTGCATTTTGGTGGATTTTTTGGTGGGTTTTTTTCCCCCTCTTGTCAAAAGAAAACAAATTGTTATTATCAAATGGTTTAGAAAACTGAAAGGGCCTGGTTCTGAACACCTCAGAGCTCACTCTTTCTGTTTGGAAAGAGGTCCAAGTCAACTGGGTCAAGAGAAAAGGTATTTCTGAAAAAACATTAGTTCCACTGTAGCTCTTACTGGCAGCAGAATGAGGACATTACATGCCTCCAGTCCTAATCCATTCTACATTACAAATTTTGAAATAAATGGTAACACTGAAGCCTTTCAAAATGAGCGCACAGCCACAAATGTGGTTCATTACCTATGACAGAAGCTCAGTTCCTCTCCTTTGGGATAGGTGAAATGTGCAAGATTATTTGGGTGTGAAAGGAATAGATATTTGGGGTTTGGAGTTGCAGGTAAATTGTCAGATTTAATCTTTAGAGTACAGAAAATGCTGGAAACTTCAAAAAGAAAACTGCTTAAAATACAACATCCCCATTATTTCTCTTCTTTTAGGTTTTTACCAAATCTCGCTAGATCAGCTTTACATAAAAATCTTCAGGATTCTGGTATTGAAATGAGTCCAGATAACACAAAGAAACTGGAGGAAAAGGATTACACATGTAAGCTTGTGCTATCTTCTTTCCTGCTCTTCATGAATTTTACTTAGATTGTTGAACATATAAAGGTGACTTTGTTCTATGGAGTGCATTGCTTCTCTCAATATGTTGATACTTTTGTATTGTCTACTGTATTCCCAGCTCATGGAATTTTGTTCTCCATCATATTTGTGTTCCTCAGTCTGGAAGACCCATTGTCTCAGGCTTTCTAATACTGCTTTTTCTTTTCTTTTTGTCACTGATAGCTAGTCTTCTGTACAGTTACAGCCTTGGTTTGATCTTAATATTTCTCTGTTCTGTTTTTTTATCATTGCTTCTTTCTCTCCCATGTTAAAATCTACCTTTTTCTCATTGAGACTCTTGTAATTTTGTGTTATAATTTGCTTTCATTCTGGTACACACTTCTTTGTTAGTTTCTCTTCTTTTTGTTCTCTTTAAATTGTTGTGGTTGTTACATGTCACCTTTATCGAGCAGATCTTTGTTTCTTTAGCTTATCCAACTTGTATTCATTTGTAGTAACCTTCAGGGCTATGCATGTATTTCTGCTTCTGCCATTTTTCTCACTTCTCCTTTCTCATTGATGTATGACCCCCTTCTATCTTTTCATATCTTTTGTCAGGCAGCACACTGTAATTTGCCATTTTCCATTCACTAAATGTTTCCTTTACTCTGCTTCACCAGCGTTACCTCTGCTCTCAATCTTCTGTATGTTTGTCATTAGTTCTGTGATGTATTTGACTTCTGTGTTTTTACTGTTAGCTCTTTGCAATGGTAGACACATATTTGGTTTTAATTCATGTGGATTCTAGTTTTATAGACTTATTTGTGTATGTGTATATATAAAAGTATATATGTAAATGCAGAGATATGTTAATGTATATATTAAAGTTTCTGTTATGTACAGTATAATATAAATGTACAGCCATATGTATATGTATATGCATATATACGTATGCAGCCATCTATGTATTGTTATATATATTATTTGAACTCTTGCCAGTTGTGTGATGCTATCTTGAATTTTCTGTGTTTCCCTGTTTCATGCCATAAAGGTGAGCAAATAAAAACATGTCTAGAAATTAGGTTATTTTCAGTTTTACACCATACCAGATTAGGAAATTAGTATAAAAAAAAATTATTACTGTTTTTAATGCATAGATTATTATTTACACTTAGTTGTTAGTTTCCTAAGGACAGAATTTATGGTTCTTTTGATCTAAGAAATTTTTCTAATGTACTTTTTCTCTCAGAGCTGTAGTTGAAGGTTATTTCAACTAGCACACATCTAGCCAGTTTTCACCAAAATTATAAACGTGACATATTCTGGCATTAATGCATTTGAGCAGAAATGCGATGCTGAAAGAGAGAATCAACTGTTGTGGCAGGTTGGCTCCACCACCCACACAGCCACTTGTTTGCTCACCTTCACACCTCACTCCACAGTGGGACAGGAGGAGAGAGTAGGAAGAATGAGAGTGAGAAAACTTGTGGGTTGCAGAAATGTAGCCTAACAGTACTGGTGATATTCCAATAACACAGTGAGAGTGTGAAATTAAACCAAGGCAGCAGTCACAACTGCTGATATTTCTTATGATACTTTTCCCCTAAGATCACTTTTTCATCACTTATTGTAGTTTGAAAGAGACACTTCTTTGTAGTTTGAAAGAGAATTCAAATTCATGATAATGCAACCTCTTGTTAACAGATATTCTTCCAAGTGTTCTCTTTCTTCAGGCAGAAATCAGAAATTTTAACACAGCCTTGTTAAAATTTGTAAATCATTACTTGTGAATATTGGGTGTTGATTGCATGTCTCCTTAGAGGATGTTGTAAGTAATGCATTTACTTTTTTCCTGAAAAATGTCCAGGTGAAATAAACAATGGGATTCTGAAGATAGGGTCTGTGACAATGCCAATTTATAACTCAGATGAGAAAATGAAAGTGCCTGATGTTTTGTTTTATGAAAACGCACAAGTAAGTACAAATCTCTGACTTCTGAGTTACAAAAGTTTTTTATACATGTGTGCTATACTAATGTGTATGCTCATATATATACTAAATAACGTACTAACTAAATTGTAATGATATATTTCTGAAGTAGTTTCTTTAGGCTTAGATTTTTCTCACACCATTTGGTGGTCATTTCGGATGTGTTTTCATCCCTTTGTGAAGAGATTGCAACCGACCTGTTGAACATTCATAAAATATGAAGTAACAGAGTCTGAACTGAATTTTCTTCAGAATGACTTGATTGGATGTTGCGTTGACTGGTTTTATTTTTGTCTTGCTGCTGCTGGACTGATCCACTCTTAGAACTGGATTGTTGATTGCGTCCTGAGACTGTGTTTTACAGGCCTTTTGCATGAAGTTTTACCTCTCTGTAATGGGTTGACCTTGGCTGGATGCCCAGTGCCTGCCAAGCCTCTCTATCACTCCCTCTTCTCAGTTTGACAGAGGAGAGAAAATAAGTTGGAAAATGACTCTCAGGTTGAGATAAGGCATTTTACTAAAGCAAAAGTGTAAGTTTGTGCATGCACAAGTAAAGAGAAAAGAACAATAGTTTTATTCTCTACTTCCCATCACTTCCCATCAGCAAGTGATCTCTGGCCACTTCCCAGCAAGCACACATAGTGGGAAGGCAAACATTGTAAATGACAAATACCTCCCATTTCCTTCTCCTTTCCTTAGCTTTTATATCTGAGCTGATGTCATATGGTATGGAATATGCCTTTGGTTAGTTTGGGTCAGCTGACCTAGTTGCGTCCCCTCCCAGGATCTTGCCTATCCCCAGCCTACTGATGGGGGGAATGCTGGGGACAATGCTGATGCTGTGCCAGCTCTGCTCAGCAGTTCCCATAACACTGGTGTGTTGTCAACACCTTTCTAGGTACCAAAGCAAAGGACAGCACTGTGAGGGCTGCAATGGGAAAATGAACTCCATCTCAGCCAGACCCAGTACACTCCCTTTCAACAGAATTAACATTGCATGTTTGAAAAGCAAGGGGAAGAGTAATCAGTAAATTAGTTATTAGTTAGGATTGTTAATTATTTCTTTTTAATGAGTTTATCTTATGAATTAGTCATTAGTGTTCACTAACGACTTGGTGTTCACTAGGTTCCTAGTAGTAGTGAAGAGTAAGAGTGATTAGTGAGTGAAAGGAAAAGGAAGGGCTTTTTGACTGTGGGTTTTTTGCTTTCTGTTTCTCCCGCATCCCTTTAATAGAGGTAGGTGTACAGCAGCTTTCTTCTCCATCTAGCGGGGGAGCCTCAAAACTGTCAGACAAGGTATCCTTCGAAAGAGATTGACCCTCTGGGTTACCTTTAGAATATTTTGCTACTGAAAGGCCACTCTGATAGTGTGATCTTGTCAAATATTTTTCATTTAGGGAGCTGGTGTGGATTTGCTTACTTTTCCTTTCCTATTCTTTTTTTCCTACCTCACTTGCAATTTCTCCACAGAAAGACTATGCTGCATGGGTATCACCTACTGAAGGTGATGCAAGGGGAACAGATGACAGACTTCATCTTCCCCACTAACATTTCATGTGAGATTTTATTCTGTGTTGCCATTTCAATAAATTACATAATTTGAGCCTGTGAGAAATGAAATCCTGAGATCTACTAGCATTGCTTTTTCCACCTTCTTGCTTATAGCTTCAGAAAACTGTAAACAACCTGTGTTCAGATGTTATTTAGGGAACCTCTGTTAAAAATGCTGCAGAGAATGACCTGCTCTGTATCTGTCCCTGGTAGCTCTGTATCTGTCCCTGCTCTCTAAATGCTGAAGGAAACAGCAACCAAATACCAGTCAGGATAGATGTTCCCATTTCTAAACAAATTCTACTCTTATATTCTATTGCTAGTTTGTAGTTCGGTCATTCCAGTGCTGTAATGATCATTTAGCAAAACCTGCTGGAGAACAAATTTGATTTGAGTTTAGTGCAGTACATCTCCATTTTCTAGAAACCACAGAAATAAACTGAAACACAGAAAAGGATATGTCCTCAGCCCTTTGCAGTGCTACACAATATAATGAAATGTATAGGTTTTTGCCTCTGTATGTTTAGTCTTGAAACAATTCATGTTCCGCTGAAATTTGATATTGCTGTGGAACACTGCTGTTAGTCCACAGCAAGTGGCACAGAGATGGAAACAGTTTTTTGGGTAATACGCCAAATGCCATTTTCAGGCCAAGTGTTGGGGAACATGGGTGAATAAAGGCAAAAGGTGATACAATATTAATATGTCTACTTACAAGTCCTTTGTGTAAGTAACTAATATTAAATGTCTCCATGCATCATAATACAATGCTAATTTAAGTCCTGGTGCCAAAAAAAAAAAAACAAACCAGAAAAGAAGTAGTATCAATACATAATATGTCTTGTGGCTAAGGTGCTTTGCAGGGAAACCATAATGTACACATATTTATTCAATTTAGGATTAAAAAAGAAGTCATCAGAAGGACATATTTTGCCCTAGCAATAAGATAAAAAATGCAATCAATGTGTGTGGTAAACTGGCTTCCTAGAATTTATCCTATATCTGGTCAAAATTATTCTCATCAGTTATGAGTGTCTGGTGTATACACATGCCAGAAAATATAATAATTTGCCTTGTAGTACTCTCATTAAATCGTGAATTGAGTATTCAGTAGTCTTTTGACACGCTTGATTAGGATTTTGTGGTATTGCGCTGTATTTACAAGAGTTTCTTTCCCCACCCCCAGGCTGTGTTCTAGAGAGATTTGGAAATGTAAAATATCCTTCACATAGAAACTGAGCATTTCTATGCTCAGAAATTACAGGAAAGCTACTGATTTTTAATTATTTTCTTTTTTAATCAAGTACTAGAGATGAGATGATAATGTGAAAAAATTTATATGTTTATTTAAAGGCCAGCATTCATTTCTCTAAGTAGGTTGACTGACCTACTTACACATGACCTATTTTTACTAGATACAGTGGAGAAATATACACAACTTTATTGCAAGTAAAGTAGTCTGCATTGCCACATTATCCTTAAATCCTTTTGATCCTTTTAAACAAATTATTTGTGAGTAGCAAGATAAGGTTAAATGAGGTACAGTGTATGTTACCTTTTATGATATAAAATATATGTAAAAATACACCTCAAGCACTTAGGCTTCAGTGAGGCACATATAAATTAATAATTATTAAAAAGATACCTAAAATAATTAGCTACGTATCGTAAGACACATATAAACACTTTCAGACTTGAGCATGCATTTTCCTGTCTTTGTTTTCCTTGAAAATACAATTTTATTAGAATAGAAAAAGTGTATTTTTCATTAATTATACCTGTTGTTTAATCTTTAATAAAATATGTGTGTATAATTTACATGTCAACTGTCTTTTATTCTCTCTGTTTCGTTTCTCTAACGTTCTACTAGGATACGTTTTGCTTCCTCCAAGTATAGTTGCTGGAAAATTTGCATGTACTAAAGAAAGTTCTTACGCTCTTGGTAACAAGCATTCAACTAGGCTAAAAGGAAATGTACAAGGAGTGATTACAGAGAGTTAAATATATTTAGGGAAATCAGGCACCCACAATCAGTTGCAGCAGAGGACATAAATGTGGGGAGTTAGTATTTTTGTGTCATTGTTGGATATATTGCCTCTGCTATTATTGGCTGAGAGACTCTTGCTTTGAAATAGGTACCTCTAAGTATAAAGTTCAAAAATTTTTGACCCCAAATCCTTTAAGTAAAGTTCCTGTTGTACTGCTGTCATTAGCAAATGCATAAACTTGAGAGCATAAAAACAGGGGTGAAAATTGTGGTTTTGTTTCTCTAGCACATGATGGTAATGGAAGATATGCTCAAGGACTTTCTCCTGGGAGAACATCTTCTTTTAGTTGGCAACCAGGTGAGTTAAACATCTCTTACAATGCCTGAAACAAACTCATTATTTAATGATGAAATTAAATCTCTGTTTTGCTTCATTGAAATTGCATTCATTTCTACTACTGAGATATTTGATCCAATTTTTAATTCTTTATCTAATAGTGTCCAGGGGTTTTATGGGCACATATCTGTGGAAAATGTAAATGCCTTAAATGTTTTTTACATGGCTATCAGAGTAAAAAGTTAAAACATTAATCACAGAATCACTGAATATTCTGAGTTGGAAGGGACACACAAGGATCATAAAAGTTCAACTCCTGGCTTTGCACAGAACAGCCTCAAGAATCACCACGTGCCTAGAAGCATTCTCCAAATGCTTGTTGAACTTTGTCAGGCATAGTGCCATGACTACTTGCTTGGGGAGCCTGTTCCAGTGCCCAGCCACCCTGTGGGTGAGGAACCCTTTTCTAATGTCCAGCCTAAACCTCCCCTGGCACAATAATAGTTATATGTAACATCATTACCATTAAAATCTTCAGTTAATGGCTTTGGTTATCCTTCTTAGCTATGTATCAAAGCTGTCCTTTAAAACCTCCAGTAGCAGATAAGAGATGTACACATAAGTATTATCTAAATCTATGGCTAGTATCTTTGCTGATGGATATTTATTTATTTATTTATTAACCAGGTTGGTTTTTCCCCCCATAAAATAATCTTCCTTTAGCTTAGTTTTCCCTTAGCAAGGATACAATAATTTTTAGCAGATGTTTCTCTTTTTTAATAGCCCTTAGAAAAAGTTTAACACAAGACGCTAATGATCTAACCTATATAGCAAGGAATATAAAATGCTAATTGTTATTAGTTCGCATATATTAAAATATACAGTCTCATCTGTTTAGCATCCTTGTTATCAACTTGAATTTACAAAGATGGTGTACTTGAAACCTCTGTAGACCTTTGCTGGATGATGCCAGCTTCTCCCGAAAGGTTTAATCTTTTCGTAAATAGAAATTGATGTATTTCATAAATGAAATAAGATCTGTTTACTCTGTTTCATAAACAGCGCTGTCTATGCCATCTTCTGAGTTGGTATTTAAAATGTTATATAGTACAGATTGCCTGCAGAACCTGCTGCCGAGGAATAGCAGGAGTGGGCTGAACCACAGGAGAAGGGAGGCAGGGACAGTGTCCTTAATGACAAGTTTTGCAGTCCTTCACTGTCCAAGCAAAAATAATAGGTCTGGGAATAGCAGCCATGATCACCCAAGTGCCTGTGGCTGCCAGACAGGTCCATGGGGATGAGGCAGGTCTGAGGTCAAGCTGGGATCGGCAAGGTACAGGGCCAGGCACAGCATTCCCACAGTGTAGGTTGGGAAGGAACCGAGGAAAGGGCCTGAGGATACATGCAGCTCCCAAGGCATGGGCGACAAAAGGAATCCCACTGAGGCAGGAACACCATCTCAGAGCTGACCTTCAACACTGGCAAGTAGAACCCTAGGTGTGGGGGAAGAGCTTGCAGAGCCCGGTGGTACACTCAGGGCTCATTTGGCAGGAAATTTTTGAAGACTGTATGAGTACAATTGTTAGGATATAAGGTATTTTTCCAGCAGTGGTGTTCTCATCTTTAATGTGTGTCACATTTTCTCCAAGCTTTTGAATCTCTAATTGAAAACAGTGTTAAAAGATTTGACTGGGTTGAAGTATTGGAACATATTGCTTTGATTCTAGACATCAGCTCGGCTGTACCATTAAGTTGGAAAATTAGTTGATTTGCTGTGATTTCTCTTTGGCAAATCAGTAATAAAGGTTTTAGTTTTTAATTGCTAACATACTTCTGAGTACTTCCAGGTTTACTCATTACTAATTTGTTCCACTGTTTTTATGTGTAACTAAGAAAGGTCCAACAGGCCTTTCCTTTTGAAATACTGTTTTTAAGTTCGAAGCACTGTATTTAGCATTCTGCAATCTTTTAGGACCACGGCAATTATTCTTGATTTCTTGGGAATGATCACTAACCATTCAGAAATTGCTTACTAATTCCTTAAATATATTACTGTAAATTTGTGCAGCTTGTGATGAATCACATTCATGTACTTTAAAAGCAACCATATTGTATCAATTATGCTTTCATGCTGCATGTGCAGATAACTCCCCATTGAAGATATTAGAGTTTTCATCCTCTTTTTGTAAAGCAAATTATTAAAAAATAGGATTCTTATTTTCTGTTCAGTTACTTTAACAGTTTGATGTGTATAAGAAGGTGGAGTTTTATCACTGCTTGATACATACATCAGTGTGTACCTGTCTTTCACAGTTGGAAGAAAAAGATGATGATTTTTTGGAGATACAAAGTGCTGTTTTGAGTTCCTTTCTGTTAAACTTCATGTTGGTGAATAAATGAATCATGGAAATTCAGTGTAATAACTGACAATTCAAATACTGTGAACCTGACTATTTCAAAACATATGACTAACATCCCTTTGAGTGCTTGTGTAATTTCCTAGATATTTAAATGACTTGGCATATACCTTAGGACGTAATTTGGTCCTTCAAAATTATGCCTATGTAAGTGAGTGTATCCGTTCAACTGTGATTTAATGTGCAAGGCTTGAGCTGTAGTCTTTCTTTTACAATCTGGATTTGGTTTTGTTTGGTTGACTAAATGTGGTTTTCCACTTTTGCCTCTTTTTTCATAACACATGTACACACCAAAAATTCCTGCTACCTTAAGACCTCTCTCTTTTCAAAGTAATTGTGGTCTCTTTTGTATATTCATTTTAGTTAAAGAGCTGACTGATGAGAGTTTTTTTACCAAGATTTTTTTCAAGATACAGACTTTGACAATTAGTGAATTTACTTTGAAATTCGGTGAATTAGAATTAAGTTATCTTGGTGGATGTTAGGGACTGGCTTTCGTAATGAAACTGAGGAGAATTTGAAGACAAGTATTAGATACCAACAGATATTTTTAGAAGTGCTCAGCTTTTAAAGTGAACTACTTTACAACACTTCATTCATATGTATTCCCTGGGTCTTGTATGGCCCAACATAAATGTAGTACATGCATTGTGGCTTTGTCTAAATATTTGTTTACAGTGGTTGTTTATTTACTTTGGATGCTAACTGAAACATGCTTCCATTACATATAAAAATGAACAGGTTTCTTTGAGTTCAATGGATAGATATGAATTTTCAGCTATGAAATAGCTTCCAAGTAAAGGACATGCCAGTGCTTTAAATATGGCTTCTGATATTGCTTGCTGAATGAGCCTGTAGTCTGAGAGTGAATGACCATCTATAGTTTTTCAAAGCAATTATACAGCAGCTTCTTCTTTGGCTGAGAGTAAGCAGCTGCTTATTAATTTCACACCAACAGGCAAAGAACAGCAAGAGCCCTGTTTGGTAAAGGTTACTTATTCCAAACTTTGCAGTGACTGCTTATTTAGTCATTACATATTGCTCTTGCAGTGGCTTCTGAGAGAAGTCTGGCTTATGAGACAGACTGAAGTATTGATTCTTATTACCAAGGAAAATTTTTAGGTTGCGTTTTTGTGCAATTTTTCCTGATGGACATTGTGCGGTTCATGGATTGGCCACTACTTGCTATCTTTTACTGTCTTGAACTTGGATTTTCTTTGCCAAATATGAGAGAAACTATGTTAAAAACCAGAATTTGTTTATGTGGAAAAAGTTGGAAAATAGCAGTGGCTGAAACGCTTTTATTTTGTCTCAAAATTTTAAATGTTAAATATAACATTTCCAAAATTGTTGCATTTGGAAGTTGTGTAAAGACACGTTGGATGTTTTCACCTTTATTAGTCATAGGTGAGGTCTTGGCTACCATCAGTTGTCTTTGAAGATACCAAACAAAATATTTATAGTTATAAGGGATTTGTGACCTTCTGGGTAGAGAAGGCTCACAGACCGCTCAATTCTGAATTATTTTATTGTCTTGAAATTCTAAAACACCTAACAGCATGTTAAGCAAAATTTAAGTATTTTATTTGGCATTGTTCTGTTGCCATGATTTATTGAATGAGCTGTTCAGAAGTAGAATGAAGAATTCTATAAAGGTGATAAATACTGCAAATAATCTGAAAGAAGACCACAACAAAATCTTTGGAGGCACTTAGTTAAAGTGTTGATGTGAGCCCACAGTAAGTTAACTATCACAAATACATTAATAATGACTACTGTGTCCAGCGGAGGGCTACGAAGATGATGAACCATCTCTCTTATGAAGAAAGGGAGCTGGGCCTGTGTTGCTTGGAAAAGGGGATCTTATCAATGCATACAAATACCTTAAGGATGGATGTCAAGAGGATGGGGCCAGATTCTTTTCAATGGTGCCCAGTGATAGGACAAGGGTTAATGTACATAAACTGGAACACAGGAAGTTCCATCTGAATATGAGGAAGAACTTCTTTACTGTGAGGGTGACAGAGCGCTGAAACAGGCTGCCCAGAGAGGCCATGGATGATTCTTCTCTGGAGATACCAAAAACCTGCCTGAAAATCATCCCATGCAACCCGCTGTAGGGGAACTTGCTTTAGCAGGGGGGTTGGACTAGATGATTTCAAGAGGTCCCTTCCAATCCCAACCATTCTGTGATTAAAAGAGCTTAGAAATGTAGCGACCTTCTGGCACATTTGCCAATTTATTTTCCTGATAGAAGAATGTAATTTCATCCTTGCTGCTGCCTTTCTTTAACTGAGAGATCAACTTACAAGAATGCTTGGGCTCCCACTAGGAATTTATTTTATTCTTGAAGAATTTAGTGGGAAAAATGGTTGAGTCTTTCTTAAATATTTAAATATTCAAAATGACATGCTTGACTAGATCTTTCCTTCTAATATAATATTCTTATTTCTAACTCATTGTGAAACTGAATTAAGTACAAACTAAGAGTGTAATAATTTCAGTCATCAGAAAACTTGAAAAAACAAATCCTTGGCATTTTAACTTTTCTAGAAATAAGGGTCCTTGTTTTTCTGCCTGAACTTGTTTAAAGATAGACAGTTT